ATAATTATATTAATTATAATATTATGTCATTGAAATAAAACCAAACGCCTAACTGTGTATACAAATATCTAAATCTTGTTCAGTGATTGGAAAATAAATAGGTGTGAATGCATAATAATAATATATAGGAGCTACACAAATCATTTCGACTTAAACGCGTTACCAATAATGACAACGGTTCAATTGACTATTGAAATCATACAATATCGATGTTACACGTCTTTTTTCTGTAGTAATACTTGTTTGTACTTCGTCAAATGCTCGTGATGGAATACTCAAGATCTGTAAACCGATGGCAAAACTTGGTAAAAACGATAATAATTACGTACTGTTATAAATATGTTGTATAAATTAATTAAAATAACTAAAAAAAATTGAATTAAGCTGAAGTGTGAAAAAATCATTAAATAAATCTTAACTTATGAGCATAATATTATTATTATTATAAACAATCGATAGTTCGCACTGATAATAAATATATTCGTTGTTTCCATTTGTCACGTTGATCTCTCATCTAGTTTTCACAGTGGTCAACTGTGTAAGTTTTTTTGAAAATGTTATATATCTGTTGATAAATTAGGTAGGTCGTAGGTACCTACTAGGTATTATTAATTTACAAACAGATGATAATTAATAATTATATAGATAATAATTGCATTAAACTATGTTGATAATATAATTTTAAGAATGACGCGTGAATCAAAAGAAAGTAGGTACCCATTTATATATTTATAATTTTGACACACACACACTGCCGTTTTTATTGAGTTATTATTATAATTATTAAAAATTATTTAAAAATTCAAACAATGTTTTTTCGTCTTCCATGTTAGCTTTTTTTTTTTTTTGTTCACGTCCATTAAGTTTGCGCTAAAATACATTCCTGAAATAATGTTTTTATTTTTTTCCTATACGACACGCTCGGTTGAGTACACTCGCAGCAGAGACTATATAATATAATAATATTTTAAATATGCGTAATATACTCGCGTGTTATGGTGTAACGATACAACGACTGATACCACACCAATTCGGTAAAATGTCGATCGGTATATTTAATGATTTCGTCTGTGATGACCCATGATGGTGGTCTCGACGATCGGTCGAAGTGAACGTGCCGTTTAATTATAGGTAGGTGTACGACAAACATAATTCGACCGACGGCGAGTGCACCCATTAAAGTGAATCGCTAAAAATCGATCACGGGGTGTGGAAAACCGCATGGATCGTTGAGCTCTTTGTGTAAACCCTATTCGCGTGTATTCTTTTCTGCAGATATTATAATATGATATATTATGCTTTACAATATAGGCTACTTTCACGCGCGGGTCGTCGCATTCGGTCGGTCTTAAAGATAATGATAATGAAATATAATATGCTCATATTATTATCATTATTACCTACTATAGTCAACGCGTTTGTGTAGCCCGAGCCGCAGTCAAACTGTGGGAATAGCGCACGTACTTATTATACATTGTACGCCGTACAACAGGACGTAGGTATTATAATAATTTACGAATCCCGTCTACTTGACCAATTCGTTAATTCGATACGTCGCCGTACCTATATAATAGGTCGATATCATAAACACACGATCGATTTTGGCCAATTCATCCTCGTTATATGGGTACCCGAGGTATACATAGGTATAGATATTAATATACCACAAGACCGCTGGACTGCAGGCGTGTGATGGGTTCGTCCAAGTCGCCTCCGGTGGTAACGTGGTTTTTTCACCACTCGACTAATAGGTGGGTCAAAATTATTAAAACTTCCAATGAGGCCGCCACCGCAATCAACTTTTATTGGATTTTAATTAGTATTTTAATCTTTGTCGTGTCAAGAAGTACCACTGAATTAAACAATTACGGCGTGATGACGATGTACGCACACATTAAAGATCTTAGTGAAATCATCGATTAAACTGTTCTGTTTAATAAAGAAAAAATTAGACCCCATTTCTTTTTATACAACCATAATATTAAAAAATATATATCCTGGTATTCATAAAAGTGTTATATGCAATGAACAAATTTGATGAGAAGGACAGCGAATATGTTTCGTTAGTATTTATGTAAGGCACAAAACGGCTATTATTGAAAAACACAATATAAATATGAATACACAAATCAAGTTTTCGTATTAAGCTTATACCTGTACCTTGCATAACTTAAAATCATTGTTGGCTATCTAACCTAACAATTACTGATTTGGAAAAAATATATTGAATTTTAATATTTCATCAATATAATTAGGTAAAACAGACTATATAAATAATAATTATATTATTATTATAAGGATATTATATAATTCATGATTTGTTATCAAAAATAAGTTACCTAGGTACTAATAATATTAATTTGATAATTTGTATAATTTTTTTTAAAATCCTCGTAAAATGTATATAGATAGCCTATCAACACTTTTAATTCATACGAAATATTAAACTATACGGTATTGTGTGTATACACATTATATATAATAAATAACTATACGGTAGTTATGCTGTATAGTAGATTTCTAGTGTACCTCGATTTTGAGTACAGCTGGTTAATGTAATGTTACATTTTAATTCAGTGATAAATCTTGTATACGATGAAAATCTATATTGAGTGCGTAGGTCTATCAGCTTATATTTCTAAGGATATTTTATTATACATTTGTTTGCTAATTGCTATTAGTAATTTTTCATATATGGGTCGACACATTTTGCCAAAAACAAATCTCATCATATTTTTTTTTCATTATTATTAAAATATATTATTTCATATTATATTACTATTTGTTTTGTTATTAACTGAATATAAGTCAATTCCGACAGCCCGTAGGGCGAAGTGAATAGATTCCTGACATAAATAGCTTAAATTCCATCCAAATTGCATTGTGTATAGTAAGTATACGTAAAGGCAAAGGTTCAATTTCCTAGAAATAACATTTTTTGAATTGCAACAAAATAATCAAACTCGTTATATTTGTTTATTTAATTTCGATTTTTTTTAAATTTAAACTGAAAATGTCTTTAAAAATACCTGTGTATTTTTAAGATTTTTCAAGTTGCTGTACGAAAAACGTATGAGGAATCTTGTAATAAACCTTCAAGTCTATGCTATAAAAATTGAACTATAAAATAAACATACAAATTTTTGTAATTTTGATGAATTTTATCAAAATATGAACTTCTAATGCTTAAAAAAACTATGTCTATACGTACTATGTAATTTGATGTTGAGTAATTATTTTTATAATTACAACATGTAATGTACAACACGTTGTTTTACATTTACAAGCTCTTTGACAGATCATATCGATTATTGTTATCAGCATTTATAGAAAACAATTGAACTTTTCAAAAGAGTACCTATATAAATTGTTTGATATTAGTCTAATTATTATTAAAATTTCACAGAGCGTAGAAAATTATAATTTAATGTACTACCTCATCGACAATTGTTTCTCGAGTAATATGACAACAGAGTTAGGTTCCTCGACTGTACCGAGTCTGCCTCTTTGGATTAGTTTATGGCAGTGGTTTTCAACGTGGGCGAAATCACCCCCCAGTGGCCGGTCAAGAGGTTCTGAGGGGCGGTTGTTTTGGGTGATAGGGGGACGTTGAGTAGTCTTGGGCGGTAGGGTGGTTATAAACTGAATTTCAGATATTATGCCGAGCCACGCGCCATGACTTCTCTGTAATTATTTTCGAAACATATATCAAGCTATATATAAAACAAACGCGATATAATAAAATACAAGGCTTCTCTTGATGATTACAATCAATACACTATACACATAACTACATAAGTATTCAAAAACCAACCGTTAACTCCCTCACAGTAACAAACCTAATGTTTATTTTTCCAAAAAAGTTATTACATGCAGTCAGTAAAATATTCATTCAAACTCTAGTGGGTTACAATATTTAAAAACCCAAAAAAAAAAACATAGAGTCTTAACTTAATATGTTTTCTGGTAGGAAAGTAGTACTAACTTTACTTAGGAAAGTAGAAGTAAATAATTTACATTATTTTTCTGAATAATTAGGTAAAATAAAATAAAAGTTAAATACATTAGTCAAGTCATCAATTCGAACTTCGATAGCACAAAAACCTAGATAACTCACATATTTTTCTTGCTCCTAGAAGTGTTTTTAAGTTGTGTTTGTGATATATAATTCGAAAAATACAGAGGCCGAATTAAATTTTAATCTCCTTGAGATTCGAATTATAGAGATTCAATACTGTACCTACATCATAAAATATACTTTGCCTTTGTATGCCTTTCCATTTTCAATTTAATAGTTTTCGAAATCCTCTTCCCGGACACACTCCAGCTGCATTCGGTACAAGTAAGTAGTAACATATTATTAATTAGTCGACGAACATTATACGGGTGTATGAGAAATATGATCATCATATCATTATCTTCACGGATTTTATATGTAGTGTCTCAGATGGTACCTAATGAATTTTTTGTTGGAAATTGTTTCAACGGGCAGATATTATAATATTAATATCTATTAATTCGTATAGGTAATCATTATCGCGATAATATTACATCGTGTATTTCTTGCAGTTTTCGACAACAATAATTGTTTAACAATTATTATTTAAAAAAGCGACAACGGTAAAAACGACGGAGCTCGTATCGCCTTCGTCGCGGTTTCGCCTTAACGCCACCGCCACCGGTTGCTGCTGCAGTCGCACGCGGTTCTTCGCGGGTGTCGTCGTTTAGGAAGGGGAGTTAGACACTATAACATTGGGAGGCCCGCTCAGACGGTCGTATAAAACGTCTTGGACTCGTGTTCGTTGTAGTTATACTGCTCTGGTAACGTTCGCGTTCGGTACATCCGGTGAATTATTATTAGTTAATTCGTCTTCATACGCGTCTCTTCTTATTCGTTTCTACCGTTCATTATCGATTTCGTTTTAGCCAAATTAGTTTGTTGCAACACATAAACCCGTCGTCTTATCTCCGTCTCCGGCACGACGTACGATATTGCCACCATGGTGTCGTGCGCGGTGTCGATTTTGCTGACCGCGGCGGCTTGGTGCGCGTCCGCCAGTGCCCTTGCCGTCCCGGAGACCATGACCTCGACCGTGTTAGCGAACGGCTCGTCGGCGACCACCGACTGGACCACGGAGTCCGTGGCCTCCGCTACGGCAAGCGCCACCGAATCTCCGCCGACCATAGTGGTGTACAACAGCACCAGTGGCGAAGACGACAGCAGGGACTCGAGGTTCCTGAGCTTCACGATGGGCTCCGATCAGGCGGCTGGCACAGCCACCAACTCTCTGTTGCAAGAGAAACAGGACGACCCGACCACCGATCCTAGCGCCCATCTGGTCGACATCTACACGGACTGTCTGATGCAGCTGTCGTTTCCTTGCGTCCAGCGCAAGTTGCTGTTGTTCTTGGACAAGCTTGGCAGGATGAAAGGTGAGTGTTGACGGTCGTCACCGTACCCGTGTTTTCGTTTACTCATCTCGGGTACCTACCCAGTCAGAAGTGACACGACCGACAGGGCACAGGTTTATACCTGCTGTTTGGTTTAGACACGATCGATTCGAATGGTTATTATACCGTTCGATAATTATTATAACTTTCGTAAACAGCACTTTATGCAACGTGTTTTAAGACGGAGTCCCGAACATCCTTTGACATCCTATTTTAAATGGGCTAGTCGTTGCTCATACCGATACGGTAGGTACATTTGTAACCTGCAAAAGTACAAAGCCCCTCCACAGCCGTTTACAGATTTTTGTCGTCCGATGATCGAGCGAATAATAAAAAAAAATTATACATAAATATATATATATAATATCGTATATTATTATGGTTGTGTGGCGTTATGCCGTGAAAACGGTTTTGTGCGAAATCGGTTTCTGGGCGTGTAACTCGCTTTATTCGTTCGAAACACAAGTTATCGGTCCGTGTATTCCGCCCGTGAAATCTGTTAAGAAGTTTTTCCGATTACTGCAAATATATATAATATACAATATTATATATATATATATATATATATATAAACAAAAATAATATAGGTAACTGTTATAACGCTATGCCGGGTCGCAAATAAAATTAGAAGACCGCGATTTTTATTAAGTTTACAATTTTACCGTCGAACAGTTGACATAAGTGCAGTTGCCTTTCTGCGACATTAAAATATGATATTGTGTAGTAAATTTGAAAAACAAAAAAACACTCCCATCGCTATAATATCATTATTTATTATGTGTAACATGCATGTAAAAAATGTAGACGATAAACGTTTGATACTAGTTTTATTAGATTAATGCCGCCGGAAATTGTGTACGTGACTACGTCATTATAATGTGTATTTTCGAAAATTTAAAAAAAAAAATATTATTATACCGCCATAATATTATAATATATTAAAAAAAAATTAAAAACAAAATACCACGGCGATATGATTTTTTAAACAAAAAAAAATGATATAAGTAGGTACTTAAATAGGTATACGCGTAGGTACCATAGTAACGCGTTGCAGGTATACGGTCGTTTAATTTTATTGTATTATAGATGCGTACATCGAGGTAAAGTTGAGAAAATTGTTGCCCATTAAGCACATAGTTTATAGATAGGAAGCGAATTATAAAAATTGACCTTTCACCATGTTTTCCGTGTAATTTGGTCAATTTGGTTAGACTACATTATTAAACTACGACGATAGGTGTATATTATAAATTATAATATACCACCTATACAACCTTTTTTAACACGTTATTATTGTATGTCAATGACTTATATCTTTTATTTATTTAAACATTTCCAGGTATAATGATAATAATGATATAGTTGCTTTAAATATGCCGCATAATATATTTTTCAGTTAGTTTTAAAGTCTTACGCGTCCTCCTATAATTTGAGAGATTTTTTAAGTACCTCCATGTACTACCGATAAAATACAAATTTACTTGACAGATACTATATTATATAGTATGCTCTTTATATATTTTACTATCTATATATTATTAGTGTTGTATAAATTGCTCCACTTCTCTGTGGAATAATGGTGAATAAAATGATTATTGATGGCAATTTCTCGTTTTACTATATCTCGGATAAAAGATAATAATAATTATAATATGTAAACTTACGTGTCTAGTGTCAGAGTTTTGTCAATATTTAGAGTCATCGCGTCATAATTTTTACGTGCTTTGATCGCCTCAACCGATTTCTATGGCCATGTTTGTTTCAATTTGTTATTCTCTGACAAAAAAAAAAAAAAAAATATAGGAAAGCCGGAAAAACATTTCAAGTAGCGTATAGTTAGTTGTTAAACTAGCACCAAAATATCTATTCACGAACTTGACAATAGATCTTACTGAAGTGAAACGCTTAATACCAGTGGCCGAAATATAGGCGTAGAATTGAACAGTTTACTTTCGGTTAGATCAGATGAGGATCTTTTTCCGACAACAATCATTAACGACCAAATACGATTTTTTGTTAAATTGGTTAGAAAGCAAAAGGGATAATAGTATTCATATTTCAACAATGTTTTTTGAAAAATTTAAAGTAATTCACATCTAGGGGAAAAACGAGCTCGTAGATACCTACGACGGTTTTAAGGATAATATGAAACCTGGCGGAGAAAAAAAATTTCGATTGAATTGTGTAACAAAACAAATATATAAATTACTCGATAATTTGACACTAATAACTTCAGAGGAATCCATTATTTAAAATAGTAAAAACACAATGATCAATTCAATACGCAAACAATTGTTGAGACAGGCTCGAGTTCCCGTGGAAAATGTCAGAATTAAGTTGAAAGCATGGTGAAATCGGCCTTGGTTTTCATTTTCGGTCGGACCGAATGTAAAATATTTAAATACTATTCATACTGTGTTTACACATAAAAAAATATATCAATCACTTTTATTGCCTATATATATTTTATTTTTTTATTTAAGATTCGGTATGATTCAATTTTAAATACACATAAACACGTCTCGGTTCACCGCTTTTATTTCACTTGCTCAGCCTCATACACATTGTATTTATTATAATAAACTAATATACTTATTGGACGCGATTCAATATCAAACTCAAGTTCAAGTTCTCCACTTCAATATTAGTGGTCAAATGTGCTGTTAAATATCGGTATTTTAATATTTTTCTCTTGAAATAACGCATAATAATGACACGTCCCTAAAATATTCGTTATACTTAATAACACATTATCTACTGCACCACATAATACATTTCAGTATATTATTATGTATTATAATATTATAATAATATAATAGGTAGGCTCGTTTAAAACTTACGACGACGTGACGTCCGAATCCCGCCGTACGTGACGTCCCGGATTTGTATTGGCCGTCAATCGCCGAATTTTATTTCATTATGGAAAAAATAAACACACGTTTTGCACGCACAATGCGATGATGTCCAAGATAAATAACACATTGTATTAAACGTCTTGTCCAGCGATGAAGGCCTTAGGTATTTGGTCTTATTTTTTAACACTCGGCTAATCTGTTTTTTTTCTTCCAATAATATTTTACGACATTTCTATATACCAACAATAATAATAATATAACAAATCGTTCTCATTTCAATATCGTTCTGTATCTACAATCGACAGAGAATAAGCAACAGCAGCACAATGACGTATTCTAGTGCTAGCTATATCTAAATATATATAATGCACCGAGTGTCCTATTGTGTTCGGTGCCATATTATTATTACTAGGCTATGGGGTGATGGAATTTCTACACGGTTCTCACCACTGGAAAATGGGAAGAGTGAAAAAAAAAAAAAAAAAATACAAACCGAAACATCATCGCGCGTATAGTACAGCAGAGGAATGAATAAACGCAAAGAGTGGACTGCTGAGCAGTGTATGTGTTGTTGTACTATTATAGACCATTGGTACCTACCTAAACAAGTCTGAGATGGTTCATAATAGTAAACGTAATTTTTACGAAAACGTGTTAAATTGCAACGTATAAAAAAAAAAGTAGAAACTCGCGTCGAATACGAGTCGGTCGATATTATTATAATTGATATATTATTATATTTAGGCAGGCTTGCGAGGTTTGTCCGAGAAGAAGAGATTAAATGCGATTAAACCCCGCGAAATCGAAGGACGTTTAAACACTTTTTTCACGATAATGTTGTAGTCATCGTCACCGACGATTGTTAATAATTGAATTATGATGACTCTTATAATATTGGATCGTTCTGAGATCGAATTATCTAAATGTATTGAGAGAGCAAAAGTGATAAAACCAAATAGAAATTGAAATTGGTTTCCCAGACATAATAATAGTGTACCTATAATATAAACGTCTTGAAAAAATACCAAACTCGTTCGGTGCTATTAAAATCAAACGATCGAGCTTGAATCGGATTTTGTCGAGCATTAAATGTAATCACATGTATAAATACATTTGAAAGAAAATTATAAAAACTGACAACTAAGCTCCGTAAAAAATACAAAATGCAAAAACAACAGACATTTTTTTGTAGACAATTATTATGAAGGAATAAAACATATTATGTACCTTCTATCGGCCAATCGTTTTATTGGCACATTGATACAATTATTGACATTACATATTATTTTAAAGACAATTGTAAGAACCTATGTAAACACGTTCGCAAATCAACGAATAATAATAATACGTCTTATTCCAAAAATCTATACAATATATCCATCTACCTACTTACATATTATATTTTATTTAAAACTCAATACGAAAATACCTACACTCTGGGCGAGATAATTAGGTATTATAATGGACCGCCATTTCGAGAGAGGACCCGCAGAAAACGAGATAGAAGAGTTTTAAAAAAATGTATTATTATTGTTTTCGCCTCCGGAAATTAGCAAAATCTGTCAGTTTTCCCGGTGAATTAGAAACGCCGGCGAACTGCAGTATATACCTATGTATAAACAGTATGCAGCTAGACGATATTGTTGTTGTTATTATTATTATTGTACTAGGCGTAGTTGTTGTTTACTTTTGTTTTCTAGTTTATCACTATATATTATTCTAGTTTTCATCTATTTATCGCGGACCGGTCTATTACAATATAATAAGAATAATATAAAGGATCCGCCGCCGTCATTCGCGACGGTTTCTTCTGCGGCGAGCTGTGATTTCGATTGGCGCGTAGGTCGCAGGAAAACAGACTGTCGGGAAAACGTCGTAACCCACATCGGTCGACATGTTATACTATATATACCGCTGGGTGGCTCCTATGTGTGATAATGATAATTATAATAATAATAATAATATATTATAACCATATTTTCATATTTATATCGGCCACACGAGACTCTATACGACGACGACTATTATCTGTCTATTATTATTATTGTTGTCGTTGCTGTTATTATAATCATCATCATCATCATCATCATCACACTGTCACCGCTTTGGATCCATCGTATTTAAACACCATTAATGGGTCACACGACGCCGCGAAGACGAACCATTGTGTTCTTCATCCCATTCAAACTCTACACCGTGCACATATTATAAATCCCATTTGCAGTGTGTATAGTAAGTACAATAGTATGACCATGTAGTGAACGTGTGTGTGTATAAAACCCTTTGTAATGGTAATTTTATCAACTACTATGCTCCAAAGTTTTTCTTTATTTTCCTTTCGGATTTTTTTTCGTACACCTCAAATTCGCGTTCGATCTTTGACCAGTCACGATGTCGCCACTCCTCCGCTCCAGTTCTATTTTCTGAGACCATACATTATTATAATAACGCATTTACTTTATGACTTTCTTTTTTTTTCATGTGGGAACTATATGGACTCACCGCCGTTTTCTCCCTAAACGTCCGTCAGGCTGCAATAGTGTATATTACTGGCCAGCCACTCTATTGCATCGTCTGTTCAAATTGCAATTTCACAATTTTTTACTCCAGTCGGGATGACGGAGAATAAAACTACGTCTTACTAAACTATTCGCACAGAGTTCATAAAAAAAAAGTGATTCGGACAAAATTCAGAAACAACAATTTACAGAATAATTTGATTAAACTGGCATGACAAATCACCGGTCTGGGGCAAGGTTATCGGGCCGTTTGTTTGAAACATTTTTCTTTTAACAGGCCACCACCCTCTAGGTTGATTAGTTTTCTCCGACTGAGAGTCGCGAATCGAGATTATCTCAACAACAATAGGTACAACGATTGTAGTTGACTCGCTGATCGCTATGACGTTTTAAATCTAGATTAATACTATTAAAAATTACGACAATCGACGGATTGGTGTCATTGTCGTCGGATTCATGCGATCGTCTCCAGTAAATTACCTGTTTGGGTCACGTGTTAGGTTATATTCAAATTAATCACACGCTGATACCACTTATTCCACCCTAAAACGAGTCGTAACGAAATATGTCGTACTTAATTAAAATAATAAAACGATCGTCACGAAACGAAATAATACTAATATAAACAATTTTACTTACCGACTAGTAACTACTGTAAATTAAACCAACACTAAATAATTACTATTCGATTAGCACGTATTTGCAGTGAATATGTGAATATTCCGGATAACTCCAATGATTTCGTTGGCGAAACACTCTCCACAAATATGTTTAAATAATGAATTATAATAAATGCACAACTCTATTTTTTTCTATTTTAAATAATATATGCAATTTCGGTTGAACGTAGAACGTACCTATTTTAGTTATCCAATTCGTATATACTTTGCTGTCTTGTATACTCACATGAATGGTTATATTTTTGCAGGATTCAGCGTTCTGGGTGATCTGCTGTCGGTGGTCAGGATCAAGAGGGATATGCGACCACCACTGAACGAGACCGACCTGATGGCCAGACTTAACACCGTCGACGAACAGAGCGCCCTCTCTGCACTCATGGTGCATACCCTCGACCGTTTCATCGGGTCACACATTCTTCGAGTGACTTTGCCATCTGGAATCACGGCGGCACTAAAAGGAAATGCTCGGTCCATCGCCGGCAACACTATAGACATAAACTTGTCTCGGGCCATCGGAGAAGGTACGTGGTGAAGACTCCCTTCAATGTTATATAGTATAAAACTGTATGGTTCCTAACCGGTGTGTTACTGTGTTGTGAACTATACCGTGTTTGTTCAGCCAAAACAATTGTTTATTGATATTGCGCACACGTTCAAAGTATAAATATATTATGACATTATTATGGCATTATGATGGTAAAAACCACAGATAAGAAAAACTATTGTGAAGATTCTCAATTTACATATAGGTTTATAATTGTTGCTTTTTAAAAAATCCATTAGTTATATGAAGTGTGTCACAATTTTTATGAATATAAATTAGATAGGGGGTCGTCATAAAAAAAAGGTTGAAAAGCACTAGGATAAACTATGCCTTTTTCTCTGTACATTTTCCCATAGTGACCATTCTCTAATATCCCGATAATATAGTTAAATCTTCCATAGTAATATGATAATACAAAAGTATGCTTTGTGAATAAACAATTTTAGAAATAATGCGATAGAGAATATAGTATATTAAAACTTAGACCAAATATTAAATGATCGAAAATATACAATAAAGCAGCTATATGGTAAACGAATATTATTTGATTTTCAATAGTTATAGGACATTTCAATTAATATTTTAAATGCTAGTACACATATTATTTAAAGTTTTAAACAAAACATGACATCCCAAAAACGTTTACAAGAAGTGATTTGTACTATTATTTCATTGAACGTTGTAATTATTAATTTATTTGCTCTCACACAAACCACCACTAAGCAGAGTTGCAACGTCACACTGGAATTTCACAACTTTTCTTTTTTAATAATGCGATAAAAATTACATTTCTCACACTTTGGAGCTTTAAAATGATGTTTTTGCAACGCCCGTGAATCGTGACGTCGTATAATATTATACATATTATTCCATTATAATAGGTAATGCTTTTATAGTAAGTATGTATATCATGAGTAGGTCACGCTTGAGTCCGAAACTTACCGGTAAGCCGATCTACGGTCGATGTTTTGTTTTTAATACTCAACAGAAATCCCTTTCGGGAGTTCGGTCGAACTGTTTAAACGTCTATTAATATTGAGACGCTATCTGAGAAAGTCATATGTTCTTTAAAAGGCGAGCGATAATCAAGCATCGCGTCCGTAAGTAATTATTAATTACTACACCGTCCAGTAAAGTTGTCAATATAATATACGTCACCGATGTATAACGCCACATTTTGTATTTTTATATTGCTCTTTTTTATTATTCCTACTACCTATAATACAATGTAAAGCGATATAATTATTATTCGACGCGATATTATCTGACCTGGATGCGACTTTTACAGGCCACCGATCACATAAATTACCATCAAAGTGTATTATTATTACGTGGTATAGTCGTTTGGTATACCTATACAATATAATATTGTATGGTACCACGCACAACAGTCACTTGATTACCGCTCTTTAATCGTACTAGTTATGTGAATCGCCCGTATAAAACTCCATATATTTTGTCAATACACCCTGACGAATCTCGAATCGTTAAATTTTCCGACGAAACGTCAATTATTTTTCCATAATCGACTGGTGGACGACTGCGGTGGCATCCAAATTATTATTATCGATACGCGTCTCCCGCGGTCGGCTCAGGACGGAGACGAAGAAGAAAATAAAACGACGTACATAATCCGCGACGGCCATCGATGTGGACGACGGACAAACTACAAACAACAACAATAATAATAATAATAATTGTGTGATATATTTTACACTGGACGTCGAATTTTCACTTTTGGGCGTCGATTGGATTCGGAGTATTAAAGTTATTCGAAAACCTGTAGCGTACGACGACGGAATATTACTTATATTTTCCGTATAGTTTAATTAAAGGAAACTCCTCGAGGAAAATGTAAAATGTGTTACGAATCGCAACACATTATAATACGAACTGTGAATACTTTGTGATATATATATATATATTATAATATGTACATTATTATTGTAATATTTCTAGGCACACATTATATTTTTAAACACCCGTCGTACTTTCAAAAAAATAGCTACGCCGCAGTACGTGCCAATAATAATTGCAGTCGAAGTATCTAAATAATATACGATATTTTTAATGAGAATTTTTCATTTCGATAAAACACATATTTTAATTTCATACTTAATTTTCAATTGATATAGGTATTATTATAAAATTCAATTTCACTTGGATGTGGGAAATAATTACTTGGATATTATAGGTAGGAGGTACGTGTGGTGTATAATAATATAATCGTTAAACGCGCGTTACCAACTAATTAGCAATAATTATTAATAATAATAATAATAATAATCATATCACTTGCAGAGTATGAATACACTGTAAAATGTGTTACAGCTCTCTAGTCCAATTTTTTTGAAATATTGTAATAAACAATAATTATTTAATCGTGCGTATTGTCGTTTTTTTTTTTTTTGTTCGGAATCAGGCCGAGGAAAGGGAAAAAAGTACAAGAAAATGATGCACATGATGATGATGGGACTGATGGGTAAAATGGCGCTCATGGGTCCGCTCATGATGTTGATGATCAAGGTGAAGGCCATTAAGGCGCTGCTCTTGAGCAAACTCGCGCTGCTGATGAGCTTGGCGCAGCTGATGAAGGGCAAGAAGAGCGGAGGAGGTGGATCTGGTAAGTACATATCACACGCGGGTAGTAAAAACGACAATGCCGGTGACAAACTTACGTCAAACGACTTAGGCAAAGAAGTGATCATCGTACACGACAACCACGGGGGAGGCGGTGGCGGTGCCGCGGAATATGGTGCTGGGACAGCGGCTGGATGGGTGTCCGGTCACACAGCAACAGGTTGGTCGACGGGCGGTGGTGCCGATAGCTACTCGGCGGGATCGCACATCGGTGGAGGCGACAACACGTACGCCGGCGGCCAGGACTCCTATTCATCAGGTACGAGAGAAAAACGACGATGACTCGCATTTTACACGGAATCTTCGTAACCGCGACCGACCGCTAATTGTTGTGGTATACATCGTTAGTGGAAAATGGAGGTCTAGCACGAGGTGACATAGCTGTTCTGGGGAGGGGGGGGCGAACAGATCGTAAACGACAGCTAACAATAAGATGTACATTTCAATATTTCCGTTTACATTTTATTCTGTTGACTTTTCAAACAACACGAAAATTAGTGATAATCAATTGAAACAATAGTATATTACTATTATACCGATAAAATAGCACACATTAACAATTCCACTAAAAATGGATGTATTTTGTATTTTTAACTACCACACTAAAAACCATATTTGCCTAACCTCTTTCTTGGGGTAGAAATCAGAAGTGTCTTGCAATCCGACTCAGTAAATGTCTATGTACCAATGACCACTGCTTAACAGTGGCCTATTAATGTAGCTATACGGCCGAGTATGGTTTACTCAAAAACTCGAAAACGTTGATACTTCGTATCTCAAGAGAAATACAAATAAATTTGACTTATCAATTTTTCGAGTTCTATACCTCAAACGAAACTTAAATACAAGTATTCAAGGGGTAACAAAAAAACTTCGATTTATCTAGGTTTTCGAGTTATTGAAACTCGATGACTGTCTCATGGGACGTCGGGCGAGACCTCAGTTTTCACGGTAAACGTGTACAATACAGTGCTCTGCACCGTCATCGCGATCGCGATGTACACGGAACTGACCACGGATAGGCTGACGAGGCCAATTTCCACATTCATTGCCATAGACAACAATATTTAAGATGGATTTTTTCATTATTTTTTTTTTACCTCTAGGCGCCGGAATGCCCAGTGGCTGGGCGGGCGTCAACGGACACGGCGGCAGCGGATGGGCAAGAAAGTCGATGGTTCACGAACCACATTGGGTGGCTTACCGAGCTTACATTCCCACGCCCGAAGACGACCACGCCAACGAAAAATGACTCGACAATCTAGACTAAGACCCAACGCATATTAATATAATATTACTGTAGCATATTATGCGACGTACATCATAATATTATTGTGTGCATAATAATATTATCATGATTCGCGTTTGCTCAGTAAATACAACATATTATTATAGTTAAGTTATATTTTTTTTCTAAAAACGGTCGATTTGTGAGTGTATAATATTATTATATTATAATATAATATATTTTCATGACATATGTGGTATGTACGATTCGGATGAAACGGGAAAGTCGAGAGTACGTACACAGGTGTCAAAAGCGCATTTGCAAATTTTACGGCCGGTGTAGTTGTATTATAGCACGTCGACGATTCTATTTTAAAAATATCCCTTTCGTCGTGCCCCATATATTACAATTATTATAATTTAATATTATGCATTATTGTGACGACGTCGATTATTATTTATACTCTATTTATTTGTAAATAATATTTTTTATCTATATATTCTCTCAATATTTATTATTTATTGAAGTAAACTATATTTATATATGTAAATTATTATATAATATATAAATATCGTGAACATTACATGCTCAATTTTTATTTGTTTTAAATCCGTCCGCTTTTCGTTGTTGCCTATTTCTGTAAAAGTGTTATTATACTGATATTATTGCTGTATGCATAGAATTTATACAAATATAAAAATTCGAATTTTTAACTGCGTATATGAAGACAAGATCGATCGACAATTATTATTGTATGATACGCTACTTTCTACAATAAAGTATATATTTATTTAAAAATGTATAATACGACCAACCTGTAGACAGTTTAATGGTCATTGAGGTAGGTACTTTAGGAAAATTGCATGATGTCCGCTAAAATGTGTATTTTTTCACACTCTTCCCGCTCACGTTTTTAACGCCAAACCCGCTTATAATACTTTTATATTAATCTAGTTCTCGACACCTATTTAGGGGAGGGGGATAGTACGGTGTATTATACTAGCAAAAATGACTTCACATAATAAACTGTCAGAGCTGGTAGTTTTGTCCGAATTTGTTTATTTATTATTGGAACCTAATACCTACAGCCAGCATTGGAATCTGATATTTTATGTTATTTAAAATAATAATATAAAACAATTTCGAAAAAAGCTTAAAATTGTCTTTTTTAGACGAATAATACAATTTGAGATGAAAACGTTAATAAATAAAATTCACTGTGGGCTTTAAATCATTTTCCTCTTATAAAAAAAATGAATAACCGACACTCGTTGTCCCACATCACAATTACTCTGTGTACGTTTTTTGTAAAAAGTGTTAAGCTTAAAATATCTAAAACGTTTTATTCCTAAACAACGACAAACTCAAAAGGCGTATAACGTTTTGAATTTAAATAACAATAATATTTTTATTTTTATTAAAATGTTTTAAGGCACCGACTGCATGGTTATTAGCTTGTTATTTTTCTGCAAGAGGGTATAGTTGGTACGGAACACGTGGTATGTGTGGCGAGAATTTGTCACTAAAACCTGGGTGGTCACCCATCCGGGAACTAGCGACACTGGCTAATGCTTGACCTCAGGACACAATAGTGACTGAGGCCAACCTACAGTGCCACACGATAATAGTATAAAGTATAAACACCAAAAGTCGTATACTGTTTTAATTCTAAATAACGTATGACGAGATTTTTTACAATCGCAAACCCAGTATAGGTAATAGGTATATACTCTTTATATACATACAATATTATACGGAGGGCTTGAAAAACTTCACCTGTAGCGTTACGTTATGATATCAAAGAATTAACTTTATTTAGCGACACGGTTTTTATACTCATTCCGACCATCGATGTTGATATGCGATAATTATAACGGATTTAGCGGCATCGCCATCGGTTTCGAGAGTGTACTTCCACCAAAAAAAAATCTATGAATGATATTAAACGGCTGACATTGGAAATTGTGCATTAGGTCTTAATATTTTTGTCGCACATCTCCAATAACTGAATCAGCACGGCATGGGTCAAATTTACTATTACAATAATATTATTAATAACCCAATTAAACAATTAAATTATTATAATGTTACAATACCTATAATATGTCAATATACTAGAAGTACCTATTAGAACATAAGCTATTATAGTTTTGTAAAAATCATCAATTTCCGCACAATTGTACAACTCGCCACAAATACGAAATTTCATAGTAAAATAATAATATTGCAATAAACGTTGCAATTGTTTTAGTAGGTAATTATTAATTCACGTTTAAAAAATTACGTCAATTAAGATTTATGTTTTCAGAAAACGTTAATGCTCTTTTCCATTACTCCGGTGAAAAGAACAATAAGGTCGTGGCGGGGTTCCGAAAGATATTTATACATCGTTCGTTAAAATAATATAACCGTACAATAACTAGGTACCTACCTGGTATATTTTTGAACTGAGTCAGCGAAATAACCTAAATTTTAACTCATAACGTTTAAGATCAAATTGAATATATTATATTTTATATATATAATAGGTTATGTTTAGTTATAACGCAGTTGGCAGTTAATAAAAAATTCGTCAGGTTTGGGAGCTTAGTTTAACTTTCTATTGGTGACGCGAGATTTTAAACAGGCCATTTTTACTTGTTGTCCGGCTATTTAAAAAATTTAAAAATGATGTCCCCTTTTTAATCATGTCTATGATATTAAACGCATCAACTTCCAATAACTGTATTAAATTATTTAACAATACAAAAATTATTTAAATAATATACCCACATGGAAAGCAATATTTATGACGAAAAAGGTTGTTGCGATAAAAAAAAATAATGATAAGTCCAATACATTTGATTCGACTTTTAGATATTATTTCACACTGTCCTCTCAATAGCTAATAATATTTCTGTTAAATAAAATTACATTTACCTTAGAAAAAATATTCATCAGAGTTCTATGATAATAGATTCATATTGAAGCATTGAAGTAATAAAAAAAAAAAAATAAACTCCTTGTAATAAGTGATAAAAATATAAAAATTAACTTTAATTAATTAGATATAATTATACCATCAAATATTTTATAAGATAATATGTACATTGGTGTTATATTCAAGGTACAATTAAAATAATTTTGGCAGACCAGCTGGGATCGTTCTAAATGTAGGGGTGCAATCAGATTGATTGATTAAATTGTATAATTTAATATTACTATAAGATTTTAAATTTTGAAGTGTAAAAGTTGTTTGGAATGTACCTACTTTATACTTGACCTTTGTTGTAAGAACCTTTTTTCTCTGTTATAATTTCTGCAATTTGTGTGAATAAATTAAAATATTTTATTTTAAGTTTTTTTTCAAATTCAGTTGTGTGTAATGTGTAGTGTGTACACAATAAAATAGTTTTAAAAACGGTTACAATAAAATTATTGTTTGTTAAAATATTATGAGGAAGACGAAACGTTAATGTATTTTGTATTGAGAATAAGTAACATTGTTTCAAATGTACAATAACCATATAATATTTTTTATATAATGGCTATTTATAATACTGTAAGTTTTAGTGAGTTAGGTGTTAATTTAGAGTTGTACTTGTTATGTTAAGATTATAATATTATAAATAGCATAAATATATATAGATACAATTATTATGACATTAGGTATTATAAATCTGAAATGACGGAGGTACCGCACACACCTACTTAGTTTATTATTTTTTTTTTAGCTTATTACGTCTTATGTACAAGACATAATATAAGATGTATATTACTAATTATTATATTATGATATTTATACTTATTAAAAAAAATGTATAATTATAATCGATCATTTTCACTGCATAATAATAATATAATATTATAATAAAACACGATATTATTAAACAAAAACGAATTATGGATTATTATAATATATTCTGTCCAGCAAAAGAACTTGCCAATTCTCCACTTGAAAATCTGCCATCGAGACGAGTTCCACTATTATTGCAGGATGTCATATGATGATGAGCAGAAGAATGGATTTTTGTCGGAGTGTTCTCACTTCCCTCACATAGTACCTATATTTAAATTGTAGTTATTTTACTTACAAAATATTGATCATAGCTAAAATATTTTTGGACAAGTGATTCAATGTAACTGAATTACTTTAATCAATACTGAATACACTGAAAAAAGTAATTGCATTTCATTTAATCAATACACTGAACAAAGTAATTGAATAGTTTAATCAATCACTGAAAAAAGTAATTGTATAACTTTTTCATAATAATATAGCATCTATATATTAATATTAGAAAATTGCACTATTGCGGTATTATGTGAATAGTAATGCATACCTACCAGCAACCTACTAAATACTTTGTTACTTTTTACCTGCAATTGAATTTAATTTGATTTCGATAAAAACAATTTTCATATAACTAACAACTTAAATTAATGTAATAATAATTTAGCTTATTGTATTTTTAAAATTCTTGAAGGGAGCTGTAACGAAAGAAAATATGTCAAATTTTCGGTAAAAATAATATGTCCTTCCAATATCATGATTATATTTTATATCATGTTAATACTATATAAAAGTCTTTGGGAAAAAATCAATGTAACGAGCGTGGGTAATGGGAAATAAGTTAATTTTTCCATTTTTTTTTATTACCTCTCTGTTACGTAGAAAAAAATTGTCTTGCTAATCTTAAGTTAATTATCTGTGGAAAATGAGACATTTTTTTGTTTCCTGGAAAAAATGACTTTATTATTCTCTTTTACTCGTGCACTTACCAAGTGAAAATAAATGTTTGAAAAATATGAATTTTGAATGCTGTGTGCTTGGTTAATGGTTAATATTTAAATTTATAATTTGATTTTTCTTCTGATTCAGTGATTTGAAATATTAGGGTACCTAAATAATAAAGAAAGATCGGATCTGGTTTATAACGTCTTAGAGAATATTTTAAATCTAAACGTTTCGTAAATCAAAGATGTTGAATTTTTTTATAAAGTATATTTCGTTTTGCTACTCGTATGCAACTATAAAGTATAAAGTACTCGTATACTTGAACTCTAATATCAAGTCAGTATAGGTACTAGATAGTATATCAAGTCAACAGCAAATAACGACAGAAAATATGTAATAATATATTACTTTAATATGGATTGTGCACGAACGTGCACATATGAATAGGAATAAAACCGTAATGCGTCGAACTTATGAAGAAAAAAAAAACAATAAAAAGAAAAATACAATTGAATTATATAAGTTTTTTTTTTTTATTGTTATTTGTCTTTTTACGATAAATCTGATAAAAAAAACCTACGACATAATGGAAATTTCGTAATAAATAATACCAAATAACTTCACATATTTTATACTTTAGTTCAGTACACACTGATGTACATTATTATGTTGATTAGTAAAAATATACGTCCGAACGCAGTCACGTAAGAACATAATAATAATATAATATGTTATAACGATATTCTTGTGTATTGTACTTTGGGTTATGTAATAATTTAACGTACTTACATTACCGCTGTGTCGGTTGAGGATAAACACGTGAGGTTTAACCCTTTTACCGCCCCTCCTGTGGGGGGGGGGGGGTAGTGCTCTTCGATGCCGACCGTTTTTTCGAAACGCGACGGGCGCAATACTATTATTATTTTACAACTTGCACTATCGCCGCAGTCGCAATCGGCTCACTCGCTCATTCGCCCCACGCGGCGCACGGCGGCAACACATCGCGGTCAGTCGTGTGTTGACTGCACCGAAAGGAGCGATATTATTATTTAATTAATTATATTCTACTCAAAACAGTTGTAGTTTTCAATCAGACTTGTGGAATTTTTTCCATTAGGCATTAAAATTTTTTCTTCCGATGTCGCGATATTGTTATACCTTTTTACTATGCGCAATACCAAAACGGTAATTCTCACGCTCAAACCGACTTGAGGAATAAATCGTCTACGTCATCAAACTATTTCTACGCCTCGTCGTCGCATTCGTTCGAATGATGATATTAAATTATAATTTTTTTTATTTTAAACAATTTTTTTCACATTTAAATATTTCAAACAATACAACGTATTAAAAGTAATATTTATCCCTCGAAGCTATAAGCTATTATTATTTATCATACTTTCGTTGGCGTGCCATAATGTTGAACGCGGGACAAGCTGTGACAGGTGGTGTGGATGATATCTGATAACAATATCTAAGTAGGTATATTATAATAATTATAGTAAAATAATAATTTATAATATTTTATCGATATTATCCTCGTCGATTATTTCTAGTGATTATTATTATTTTAATTATTGTTATCATAATATAACGACACGCAATGGAAAGTTCATTTTTGTCGATTAATGTTTAAAAATTAAAACGGCGCAACGATACAATTTATAGACTCGTGAGGAACATTGGCTGCCTGTTTCCTCACCGTCTTGATGACGTGAATTTGCTGTAAGAACTCATCAAGAGGAAATCGATTTGACATACCAGCTCGGTTATGTATTGTTTAAAAACAATATTATAGTACTGTTGATTTTATTTTCACAAAAACGCTGGGTTATCCGGTAAGTTAAAAACATATTTTTACACATACAACATTTTTCATTTATATTAAGTTGTAATGCAAAAATTTAAAGAAATACAATATTTTAATTCATCATTATTTTAAGTGTTTTATGTCCTAGAGATTTTTCGTAAAATTCACGGGACACGCAACACTGGTACACGCGATATCTGTGTTGAAATTTTTTTCACTACAATAATCCAATCATCTAAACATTAATATTCTTGGTAAATAATTAAAACCAATATTCGAAGTTTGTATATTCTATACTATACACAACGGTTCAAAATACTAAATTAAAGACTTTAAATTACATCAAACATTTATTTTTACCAATATGAAACATAAAAAAATCGATTAATTTGTTGATACATTAAACTGCTCACTTTCCGTAAACAGTAATAAATTGTAATCGACGATTTTTTTTTTTTGGTTTACCGACTTATTCACGTTTTCAGACCATGCTGACAACGGAAACGATCATGGGCGCATGAGAGACCTTTTTATTCACAATGAACATTCGAGGGGCGGCTGGTGGGGGTGGCAGCGGCGACAGTTCCGGTTCACCTTCCGATGCCGGATACTCGGCCGCCTTGGTAGACGTTGGACGGAAAATGTTGGCAATGGATGGACTGCGGCTGCGGCCGATCAGGACCACAGGGCCGTCGCCGGTCGCGCACAACGGACGCTACTGGACGCCGGACAGACGTAGGGAGAACGCGGAAACGGTCAGGTACATCCGGTGTCTGGTGCAGACTTGTGAGGCCATCAAGCCGTGGACCGCGACTGGTTACCAAACGTCTTCGGCACCGCAGACCCGAACCAAGGTAACGATGGACCAGTTGCCGAGGATAATGCAAAAGGTAAGCGAGATAGATGGCAGAGTAAGTAGTCTGTGGCAAGTAGGAAGTGCTTTTGTGCACGTCACATTGCAAGTTACGATGTGCCATACGTCATACTATGCTTAATTATGCGGAGAAGACGATATTATGGTCAGTAAAAATGTATTCATGCGTTCAGAATTATTTAAAATCTGAGACATTGTTGTACATTAGAACATAAAAGTATGCTCGATTGAACGATTTTAATATAATTTATTAGATAATATCAAGTTTTCATACTAGAATGGGTAAATATGCAATTTTTATAAACCACGAACGTCCACATTAACTAAGTAATAACTTATGTGGTAGCTATATTAAATTGAATATAAACCGCAGCACAACTATGCAACTATTCCTTTTATTTTTATTATACTGAAAGAATGTACCTAAATATTTTAAATATAAAATACAACATTATCATAGTCATTAAACATGGTAGGTGTAATTGTAAGGGTTGTGATTATTCAGCACCCCAGGTTTTGATTTTGGCGCTATCATAATTTATCGCATTTGTAATTACAAAAATGTAAGTGCATAATAAAGCCATTATTAAGTATGTGTTTATTAAATTTTGCAGTGGGAGGTAAATTTTCTCAACGTGTTCACCACCGCCAGTTTTTTCATAGAAATTTCATCACTGATGATGGTTACAATATTATATTCAGCCAAATATATCAAAAATGTATTACTTTTATTTGCATTTGACCCAGACACTCAAAAAGGACGTTTTGCTTAAAATGTATAACTTACACTACACTACGTTACTAATTATATATTAATACGCTCAAATTGAACAAATCCATCATGAGCCATAAATTAATAAAAACGAACAATATTGTTTTTATCGTAAGCATACCTCGATGTTAATTGATTATTTTTATAGGCTTAAGCTTTAGTTGCTTGAATATATTTTAATAAATAGTATATGGGTATATTTATTTAAAAAAACCGAGATTCGTATGGGGTGATAATTTATTTTGAATATTCTTACACCGGAAACCAAAATAATAGCTGCTGGTTTAACGACTCACGAAATCGTTTCTAAAAAGTTTGCCTAAAATCTATACTTTGGTCATGCAATGGTAAAAATAAGAAGCGTTTTTATTTACATTGCTATCGCATGACGACCACATAGGTAAATTAAAACGTTTCAATGTCATGTACATAGTATGATATATATTTTATAAACATGCGTCATAATATTATACAGGGTGATGAATTTTTCATACTCCTATTATACCAATGAGCTCGTCTTAATATTTAATGAAATTACTAAAATATATAATAATATTCAAGAGTAGATACATTAAATGTTAGTAGATATAATTATTAATTATTTGTCCACTTCTATGTGATCAATTTCTAATGAACGTTCTAAAAATCTAAAAACATAACTTTATTGGTTTATACCTATGAAAATCGTTTGAAAAAAAAATGTTTGACATTTTATTTTATTTTATAGTTTGATATGTAATTGTTGGAGAATTTATGTATGTGAAATGGAGCGTTTAGATGGATTGAGCGAGAAGAGATTTTAAAACGAAGTAAAGTCATTTGAGCGTGAATCGATTGTAAGAACCACCTAAGGATTTTTAGTTGACATTAAGTGGGTGGTTTCGCCATTAAATAAGATTAAGTTTGTTGGCGATAGGTTACACGCAAGTTCGGCATAAAGTGTATTCAGTGAAAACCGACAAATCTAAAGAGTTTAGGTTATTGGATTCTAAACGTATGGAATATTTTATTCATAATACCCAATAAAATGCCGTGATAATTCGATAGGATATAATATTATTAAGGTTCCCAGGCAGCGATTTAAGCTGGTTTTACGCCTGAGCTTGAAATGTTGTAGTTACCGAAAAGCAAGACTATAAAAATGTATGATATACAATATTGTATAGAAACATTAGAAACACGTAAAAATTTCCGTGAGAAAATCGTTTACGAGAATCGTCGTAAATGGAAAATACGGGCGAACAAAAGAAATTCGGTAGCGGTTTTATAATACGTTGAGAAATAATAAAAACGCGGTATAGCAGTGGTAGGTAGGTATAGATAAACGTCATTAAAAGTGACTGGAAACAAAAAAAAATAAAATACATTGAAACGAAGCGTCGCTAGTGCAATAAATATTATTTCGAAATAACAGACGATCGATTTGAGTATAAAAAATAAAATGTAAAAAACTGTCTTGTATAAACAGCACACTAATAATAATACAAACACCGTTGTGTTACAAAGTAGTTTTAGATAAGAAAAAAACAACGAAAAATTAACACGACGCGACTGCTATGATATTGTTATGGCCCACGCGCTCGAGCTCGTGCAGTGCAGTGCTTCGGGATCGCGTGCTCAAACGGAAAGTATAATATTATATTAATATAATATTATTATAATAGGTACGTGTTATATATTATATTATGTTTATTGTAAGGTATTTTGTTGTTATGATTGCCGACTTTTTCATTGGCCGTAAAATAAATGCGATGGATTCCGAATTCAAGGTCTCTCGACTGCGCCGATGAGGAGCCATCTGTTTGTATTATATAGCATAGGTACCCGAAGCATAATATTATGCGCCGTGGATGCGCCTGCCTTTTTAGGGCTCATAAATAAATACCATAATGGTCATCGTCGTACGTTTAGAGTTAATAATATTAGTATTAGTAAACAGTTCAATGCGCAAAACTATAAAATTATGTTAAAGGCGAAACGTGTAACTAAAAATTATTGAAATACATTAAACGTAAAGAAACGTACGTTTTTAATACCTAACTTACTTGTTAATTAAATGTAAAAAAAAGTAACTCGTCAAAAACAATGCTCACTATTTACTAACGACGAAAAGTTAAACTTTGAAGGCAACAAATCTACTCATTTAGAGAGATGCTAACTCTATACATATTACATAATATTAATATTATACCTATAGTCAGCTAATAACTTCATCGATTGTTGTTTATCGCAGGCACTGCTGGTTTTTGGATTTTCGTTTTAAACTAACCGTAAAAGGCGTGTTTGTCGATCACATTTTATGATAATGATATTATAATATGCATTAAATTGTATCTGTATAATATAGGACGATATAGAATATAGATGGACGACGATCATCGCAGGGGGTTAACCTGACTAGTAACCACGAATACCCTACTACTTTTAGAGTGCTTTCCGATTTTATATCAACCCCTCTGCGCTCTCATGCTTACATTTTATAATATTACATTGTAGTATTGTACTATACTGCGCCAAAGGCGATTAGGGTTTTTCCTTTTAGCATGGTGTCCAGGCCGTCCAACCGACGATGAACGACTGGTCGGCATGGCGTGCCTCAATGTTATCGGCTTGACGTCCGTCCTTATCTGTTTTCTGTATAATCTCCTTATCTTTAATATTATTATTCAGCTGTTACGGGGTGGTAGTGGATCGAGGTGAGGGTGGTGGCGCCACACCGTCTGCACATAAATCACTCGCGGCGTATAAGGTCCTCGGTGATTAAAACTACCTATACCTACGTGTATTTATATATATACTCGGAGTATTATTATCATCGTATAATATAATATAATTATTATTATTATCGTAATATATTATAAACTCTGACTTTAAGGGCGCAGTAGTGTTCATGACCGAAAGCAATCACTGTAAACAAACCTGGTGGGTACCTCAGTGTAAACCTATAACATAAATTAACGAGTAAGATATACCTCCCCGCGAATACTCTATCGTCGGGGGCGGACTGACTAGGGCGGCGGGTAAGCGATCACCGCCTAGGCTGTTTTTTGGGCTGCTCGAAGTAATTTGGTCAGATAACTCATAAATATTTTATTAATAGCTCAAAATTGGGCCGAATTTTGTGTTTCTCCAGGACTATTTTTAATCCCAGTCCCTCCCCGGGCCATCATTGAAAACCTTCTGCTTGCTCGTATTTTTTTATTATTATTCTTAGCACTGAAGCGTATATACCTAGGTACCTATATACTATTGTATGGTGATGGGAACAAGTAAATGATTACCTACTTAAGATGTAAGTACATTACAGTACATTAATTGTTTTAATTTTGTGCAGGTACTCGGAAACAAGATCCGGAGCAACAGGGACCACAAGTTCGTCAACTACTGGACGCCCAGCGATTTTGTCAAAAACTGTTTGTTTTGGCACAACTTCTACAGGCATTTTCATAGGTCGACAGAGTTGGTATTGAGTCCACACGTAAGTCAAATGTGGGGGTAGAGGTCCGTCAACGTAACTATATAGAAACGATTAAAACACATATATAATACTATTTTTTACTTAATTTCGGACTTCAATAATATGGTAAATTACAATTTGCAATCTATACGGTTGATAACATTATAAATCTTCTAATTCACTTTTATTAACTTATTAATTAACAACTAGCTGCCCGATCTTCCTCCGGAAGAAATTATTTTTTTATAATTTAATTTAAAAACATAAGACTATTTTTTGGCTATACAAATAATACAATATAATTACATATTGTAGTTATTGTTATTGCTAATTTCTGAAAATTATATTTCCTACATTTAGAATTCAACCACTGGAGTGGTAAATTTTATTCTTTTTATTATAGAATAGAGATAAGGTAGAAAAAAATGTAACAATAAATTATTTGTTCAATGTATAATATATATATTTTAAATGGAAAAATACAAGTGCACACAAATAAATAAATTATTAATAATCATAATAATTAATAACAATAATACATACAGTGTGATTCCTTCTAAAGATAACACTAAATAATTCTGTCCAGTGACATCGGATTAATATGTGGTCTTCGGGAGGGGATAGGGAATACATAAATACACATTTCTTGATGATTTTTACATTTTTAGATCTTTCCGTGTGCGCATGCGCAATACAACTTACATTTGTTTAAATGGCAACAGGTGTTTTGAATACCAAATTCGGATAGACCGATTTTTTTAAAGTCGATTTGATCCTTTTTACCATAGTTCTAAAATCAAAACTGACTAAATGGCAACCAGTCGAAGTTTCGATTAAAATTATTGATTTTTTCATATTCATATTTCAATTCATAAAATTTTAGTAGATGTTTGAGTTCTCTTTTTATTTCCATCCAATTTGGATTAAATGTAAATGTAATGAACAAATTTGGAGTCCCAAAATTACGAACGTAAGTCATGTCGTCCTTTTTTCGTACATGTATCTAATAATTAATAGTATGTACAATATTTTAGATTGTTGAAATGGATATTACAGTACATTTTTCGTAGCATTTTTAAGTTATAAGATACAAAATATTTTATTACCTTGGACCACCTGTAAATGAAGAAGGTAAAATAAAAAGTTGTCCAATGTCATTCACGTGACAATCACTTTCTATAGCATCACGTAAATGAATATTATCTTCCGATCTTAATTTTGATTGATTATTCCGTATAAATAAAAGCCGTTCTAATTCTATTTTGGCATACATATCAACCTTTAAAAAAAATTACATTTTTTTTGTATTATTATAATGCTTATTCATGTTTTTGATTAAGTTGAAAAAATATTGTTTACTTACCCAATATTTATAATAAGTTTTCTATAATTATGTAAATGATTGTAGATATGATGCCTCACCATCAGTCTATAAGCATAAAACTGTTTTGAAGAAACAGTTTTATGACTATTGTACTAATTTAAATTGACATTAAATTACAAAATATCAATAGCATAACCATCTTCACCGTGTAGAAATATCAGTGGATATTCTAGAGAATCATAAGACCTTAAAAACACATAAATAAAAATTAAGAAAAAATGTACAGTGTATACACTTTAAAAGGAATATGAGTTTCACTTATTCGTTGTAACTTTTCGTCTTTTCTAGATAAAATTATATCGCGATTTCCATATTCTTCTCCAATCATTACTACAGCCATTTCTACTTGAGAGTTGAGATGGTGCATTAATTCTACCTCTATTTTGACCTTGAGGAACCATATTTGCATTTAAGACTAATCGGTATTGATCAGTGGGCATCCAATGCAGTTTTGAACTTCGTAATTAAAGGATTGATATTATGTAACAATAATTGCAAATCTCTTATAATATCTAAATGTATAAATATATAAATTAAAACGTTTTAAATAACAAATATATTATACAATACAATTACCTTTATTCAATCCACTGCAAATACCCATTCGCGCATCAATTTGTTCCTCTTCGTCATCCATAAAATAAACTTGTAAATATTTATGATTTGTATTTGGTAAAGGCATCAACGACCCGGCTAAATTATACACTTGACCTCTTATTTTAAATGTAGGCATATAATTTTCGACAATGGTTTCTGCCGCTCCAAATGAGGTTACACTAATAAACTACCTTTGAATTTCATTGCATTGCAATATTGATAAATTACATCCATTACACCGATACAAACATCATCGTCGTCATAATATGGATGCTTAGGTTGGTATAAATAGGCAGACCGGAATTTTACCCACTTGAACGGTATATCACCTAAAGTATATGCATTTATAATAATAAATAGTAGTGAAACACAGGCGAAGTATAATAAACAGATATATTATTTAATAATGTATATATACCTACCATATACCAAATAATGTGGGTTCAGCATTTGGTCTTAACCTCTTACGCTGTGTAGTAAAAAACATATTGGTTTCAAAGTGACAATTGTACACTCTAAAGTTTTTATTATTCGTACGAATATTGTTTTCGCGTTCCATTAAATCGGTCCTGTTGAAACTACTAAGCCATTGTATTAACCTATAAATATTTAAATCATTAGGTGGGTACACTTTATAGAATTATTAATTACAATTATTAAGTATTAGGTGTTATTAAATACCTCTCTACCCCATTTGGAATTGCATACGATGAAATTGCCTGAATGCAATTTGAACGATTTTCACAATGGAAAACGATGCACCTCTTATTACTCATAATAATAATTATTATTAGAAATTATTGAAATAATATATTTAATTAACACTTGAGAAAAAAATTTAGATCTGTTAGTAATGCTATACGACAAACGACTGAACGATTGGAGTTAGAGATGTCGATCTCATCGATCGAATAAATAAGGGGGCGCGCATGCGTATTAAAACATTATTTATTAATTTTTTTTATTCCCTTTGAACATTATTATAGGTCAACGATTATAAAATAAACAAAATAAAAAAAAAACAGACATCGTTATCGGTGATTGGTGAATATATGAAAACAATTGGTGATAAGTTAATTATTATTATTATTTTTATGAGGGTCCAAAATCAAGTTAGATTCTTATATATATAGATTAGGTACCAAATAATTAATGTCAATTTTTACAAACAAAAATTATAGTAACGTGATTTTCTGCCTACGACACTCAGTCGGATACTAAAAGTATTTTAAAATCTAATAATATATTGTATTATAAATATTAAAATATAAAATATACAATATTTTGCTATGATTCATTAAGTAGAACAAGAAAAATAACTTTTTCGTACGCTTCGTCCCTTTAGTAGTAGTATTAGGCATCATACTCAGTTTTATGGTTTACATCAAAAGTTACATTTTTTTCTTGATTGGTTTTATTTCCATTTCATAAAGTTTACTAATAGAGCTATATAATATTTTGTTTGATATTAATTTTAATCAACAAAAATATTAATTGTTATTCCAGTTCAGTGTTATACTGTTATTAAATACAGCAATTTGTCCCTAAACTAAAAACGTTATTTCTGTGTGTTGAATCATAATTAAATATATCATAATAATATGAAAATTAACACTCATAAAAAACAAAAACATGAAAACAAAATATTATATATAGGTACTTTATTAAATTAAAAATAATGTAAGAATAGCATTACTCAATCAAAATTTAGAACTAAATATGCAATTTAAATTGTTATCCATCTCGGCTTTACAATCGTGTTCGGTGATTTTATATTTATAACTGTTATTATCAAAATATTATGATATATTATTATTTAAATGTAAGCGTATTTTGAACTTCTGTCTCGTTTCGTGAAAGTCCGTTTTGTTATAATTTAATTCGCTTAAACGTGATTTAACTTCACACGCACGACGGTTTTTGACTCGGATACGCCCTACAGCCGTGAGTCGAAATAAAAACGTGGTGTAAATAACGATACCTACTGGATTTGTAGACGACGTGCAAATTATATAATAATAATACTATAGAAATCACTGTGGGAATCCAGTAGTTAATACCCCCTGCAGAATATATATAAGTAGTGTTTGAAGTATGAAAAATTTCATTTGAAATATTTCACAAAAATGTGAAACATTGAAATTTCTTTTAACACAAATAAAAACACAATTTATTTATTTTTTTTAACATAATGTTCAATGATCTAAATTCTCATGTGAGAATTCAGTAGGTATACAATATACATGTATAATATCACTACTTTTATCATTTAAACATTAAAATATTTAAACATTTTGCATACCATTTTAAATGTATAATACCAAAGGTATACATATAAGTACCATACAATTATGAAGGTAATTTATGACAGTTATATGTAATTATAAAACTTATTTAAAAATAAAACTAAATTTATTAAAATACTGTAATATTTAATTTTTTTAAATTTCATGAAATTTTCAAAGACTATATACTTATGTATAGTCATTACATCTCACAATACAGTGGTTCGGTATTTCTAGAGACTTTGATAATTAATGTTGATTGACGCATAATTAAGTATGGATTATAAATTTAGGATTATAAGATTATAGTTGTTGAGAATAGTCTACGTACATATTTTGCGACATAATTCATAGTAATTATTTTGCTGTGACGTCCAGAAAATAATAAACATTTACATTGTAGAAACTTCTATAATAACGCCTTTTATGTTATTATAGTTATGCGAAGAAGCGCAGAATTGGGCTAATCATTTGGCTCACACGGAGACGTTCGCTTATCAGAACAAAATCAATTACGGACAAAATCTGTTTTGCAGAAAACCGACGAACACCGAAATCGAAGGTAAACATTTTTGTCGCAACACGTCATTATAATATCATATAGTTACGACCAGAGCGAAATAAATGATTTTTTTTAACACTGTTTCTATATTAATTGAGCCGCAGGAAAGGACGTGGTCCGAGAATGGTATTCGTCTTCGAGAGTTTACAAGCCGAGAAAAAATCCGAAAATGTACTCGGCCAACATAAATTCGGGTAAATCAACGCCGCGATTCTCTGTGCGGTACCTATACCTAATTTGTTTTCTAACCACGAACGTATTAATAATTACTGTAATTTAAATGACAAAAAAAATAACACCACCATAATATATACATACTACGAAACCTCTAAATCCCGGACACTCTGGGTCGCCGACACTTTGTCCGCTATTCGGAGGTGTCCGTTAGGGGAGGTTTCACAGTATGTAATATTACAATATATATATATATATATATATATATTGTGTAGGTCCTTTCACGCAGCTCGTGTGGGCGAACACAAAAGAGTTGGGCGTCGGAAAAGCGTGCAGCCGGTCTGGTCGGATAATCGTCGTGGCCAATTACCTGCCGAAAGGAAACGTCAACGGACAGTACGCCAATAACGTGCACATGAACCAATACTTTTTGCCGGCCAATAAGAAGAAATTAGAATTCATCACCAGACAGGGAGAATAGAGACGCCGAAACTACGTCGACGACGGACTGTGTATTAATATTATGCTCAAATATCGTTTAAATGTCACGAAAAAATTATATTATGATATTATTATAAACATCATCGACCACTTTGTTCGAATATATTATAACCACAATGTAATTATGGTTCCGTGAGTTTTTGCAGTAAATTATCGCAACCGTTTTTTTTATTATGATAATTTATGTTTATGACGTACGTCCAATCAATCGGAGGACCCGACACGGTATTACTTCATAATCGATTCCACACAATATATTATAACACGACTGATCGATACGTATTGAGTATTATTATATTATTATTATTATTTAAGTTTTATAAAGTAGGTAAACGACTGTTGTGTTATTAAGACTTGATTAATATTGTTGTACCAAATGTGGCTCTTAATATTTTTTGAAAATTCCGTTTCTTGCACTCTCAAAATTACGTTTTGTTTATAGCTGGTCTGAACTAAGACGCCATCACAATTTGTGGAACGTATAAAATCAATACATTTTAAGCAATTTTCCTATTTATTTTATGTTCTTGTGTAAATCTCAAAAAATACCAGACACGTCTTATACATAACGAATTTTTGATCATCTGTATGTTTATACACTGCAACTCTAATACATTAATTATGTTTAAATATTGATTTTAACAACATGCATTGTTATTATATATTTTTACGATTAAATTATTTGATATGAAATTATTGAAATATGTAATTATAACTATTGTAACAACAGGACGGTCTACTCAATAATTATTTCAAAGTATCATAGCTGGCTCATACACTCCTAATATTCCATGGAAATGTTTAAATTAGGTTTTTATTATGTATAAACTATATTATGAAAGAAATATTATAATATAAACGTGAATAAAAAATTGTTTTGATATTATTCTGTATGATTCGTTAAAATAATATGGTTATCATTATTTCGTCGGATGGGAACAGTCGGAATATCTCAAAATGTAAAAGTCAATGTTTTGGTGAACACAATATATTGTGCTTATAATATACATGTCATAAACTAAATAATTTCACCTTACGATGAATAAAATCAAATTCTAGGTTGTATCTGATATTTAAATTATATAATATGTAACAAGGCGCATTAAATAGGCAATATAGGTACATCACAATATGGTATTAGTCGTGGACAATATCCTGGACAATATTGTGATCGTGAACGTGTTAAATATTTTATTGCATTATTTAACTTTATAAACGTTATTAACGTAATCAATAGTCTTATTTTAAGTACTATAGTATGCCTTTTTTGTTTTTAATGATTTTGAAATAAATAATTCGTTATTATACGTTTATTATAAGTAAGACAAAAACCATATCGAAAAATAATATGGTAACGATATAAATATCGATGAATGTGGAGTCGGGGACGGCCTGTCCCACTGGGATTCCAGACAGGTTAATTGGCATAATGAGTCAGGACCATCAACTATCATGTATTATAGAACATTTATTTTTAGGAGGATAATATATGTATTCGGTATTCGTTTTAGATATTTTAATTAAATTTGTTCAATTACTAATAATTTGAGCGGTAATCCTTGCTAAAAGTTAGCTAGCTTAAGCAGTAGTTGTAATTCAAAATTTAATAACCGTAGAATACTTGTAATTATAACTAAATATTAATTATAAAAATATTATCTGGACACGATATAATTAAAAAAATATTTTGACTGTATTTCCATCCTATTTATATAAAATTAAAATGTTCGACCTCTCATAGTCTTATATTCAATTTATCTAAATAAAGGTTTTGTTTATACGTCAAAAACGTTAAACAAGTACTTCACTAGTTTTGCTTACATTCCAAAAATGTCAAAAATATAAAGGATGATTTTTAAGCATGCTAACCTACATTTTAACTTTTAGTACAAAATGTATTCAAATTCTTACTGTCAGAATTTTTAAGTGTACCTACCTAAAGTTCATATTTTATACTTATGATATTTTTCATACTACTTAAGTACACCTATGTGAAAATATGATCTTCAGAGTTCAATTAATGTATTGAAAAATCAGAATTAAAATCTATGTATAACTTAAGCATACAAATAGGATGAGCATACAGTTCATAAAATCATATTGATCCATAATTCACTTTAAAATTTAAATATATAACATTTTAATAAAATAATTTAGGTACTTACTTTGAATCGTCGGGATCGTTTAGAAAAACGTATGTCCTGGAAAGTTTTAACTGACATTTTGGACCATTATTTCCGATGATATCCGTTAAAAATGGAGAACACTACACCCGAATGAGTTGTCTCCGTCTTACAAACGTACATCATAGCGAATACTGTTTTGCGTGGGAAAGAACTGAGAAAGATACAGTCATAACTAAGACATTAAATTTTCACCACATAAAAAAGATGACTTTGGCTGTGCAATATCGTTTTATTTTTTTGATATCATTTATACGAAAAAAGATTTTATTGTTTCAAAATCTATTATTGTTTGTGTTTTTCAAACTTAAATAATTGTTTTTGAAGTTCCGATAATTTAGTTTATTGAAATCGATAGTAATCATATACCGTTTTTAAACTTGCTTATTAGAATACATGATTTTTTTTTTTAAATAAACTAAATATTTTCTATTTTTATAGTCGTTTTTTACTTACCTACCCAGCTACCTACCTAACAATAATGAACCCTATATGTATTATTGTAATATTTACGACAAAGGTATAATTATTTTATTAATTTTAATCTGGACATATTAAGTAAAGAAAAATATAGATAATAGGCAATCAAGAATAATCAAATAGGTATTTCATACAATGTTTTGTATCTTACATGGTTTCCATAGTATAATATACCATATTATACAATTTAACTATTCAGAGACTATAATGTACAAATCACCTTAAAAATCACTTGATTAAAGATGATGAATGAAGATTTTTTAAAAAAAATATTTTTTTTTTATGAAAAATGTACTACTCACGATTATCACTTTTAAAAAAAGTATAAAATTAAAAAAAACCATTCATTTTGTATTCTTCCTGACATAATAGGTGTAGCGTGTAAATATAAATTAACACAAAACAGCATAGAATCATGATATAATAATAATGTATAAATAAAAATGGACAAACGGTAAATAAATATTAATAATAATGACGCATATAATACTTAGGTACCTATATGATATTTTGAATAAATTAGCATTGCCGTCGACGTATGTAGACAATATAATAATAATAATAATAATAATAATAATGATAATAATAATAATTAAATAAATAATAATATTAAGTCAAACACGAGTCGGCTGGGTGGGTGGTGGTCAGCGGCGATCGATGATTGGTATGTAAATGGGCGTCTTATCTGAAGTGTGGATGCGGTACACGACGTGGTCGGCGTCCTCGGCCGACGACGGGGCTGGCACGTGTTGCAACCCCAAGACGCCACTGCTACCACCTGCTCCACCACCGATGGACCGCCTGTACGTGGGGTTGTTCTGGGACCCAGCGGAGTGGGTGTCGTCCGCAGTCGAGTGCGAGTGCGAGTACACCGGCTTGGTGACGATCTCGTACGTGGTGCTCTTTGGCTCGGAGTGACCGCCACCCCCGCGGAAAGATGCTAGCCCGGACAGGAGCAGCGACATGAGCGCCGTCATCAGCGCCTTGCCCGCGAGCACGGCGATCGCCTTCATGCCGAGCGCCAGCAGCATGGCCCCGGTCACCCATCCGGCCAACAGGATGGACTGCGCGTACTTTTGTTTCTTGCCCCTGCCTGCGAACAACGTCCGACCGGATTATTATTGTCCTATAGCAGGGCTATAGGTAGTGCTCTGGTAGGTAAACGTGCAATTTTTAAATTGAACTTTTTTAATTTACCAATAAATATATTATATGAATGAATGTTTGTCTGTCCTTTATGCATTCTTAAGTGGCTGGATAGATTAAGGTGAAATTTTGTATAGAGATAGATTAGATAGGGAAGAAGATACGCTAATTTAAAAAGTGTACATTCTCTAATTTATCCGACCCGGAGAGGTGCTCAAACAGCGAGATATTGAGATTTACGATGGAAATTTTTGTTCGTAATTGGTTGCTATTGTTTTAAATAATAATTATAATTGTTTGGCGTTGAATTTTTCGGTCGATCTTCATTCATTTATTTCGATAATTTTCGTGATCGTGTTGCACAAACGAAGAACGCACGATTGTAACTAATGAAAAAATGTGTGAACGACTTGTGTGTAAAACATTTATATTGATTGATTGATGGACACCTATTTTTTCAATCGAGAAATGTATGTATAATAGTCGTCGACTCGAACGAATAATAAAGATTCCACTGAGTATATATAGATTTCGTTAATAGGATATTAAATTTTGACGGGTTCGACAAAAACCGCAAAAAAAAACATAATCGCTCATATAATTGCACGTAATAGAAACTCCAAAGTTATCTTCCGGAAAAGCAATCACTCTGATTGAGGTATGTATTAAATCTCCTAATGTATTGTACAAACAGAATCACGGTTTCGTTCAATTATTATCCATTTAAGTACCAGCTATTACTGTGTCATGCAATTGTGCCCGTAAAAGGTGAGCATGGTTCATAATTCAATCAATCCACGATTAAATGATTAAGTGAGTAGGTATAGGTACTTATTAGAGGTATTTGGCTGGAATGCATATACAAAAACCCCCCACTCATAGTTGCGTTACATCGTTTTATTACTTGGGTATCTTAATAATTTTAAATTTTTTGTTTATCATCAATAAAACATATACTATGATTTTCAAACGGTAGATTTGCTTGTGTTTAATTTTTCTACAATAAAAATGATTAATTTTTAAAAAATTTGATCTACTAATATATTAAATATATTAAAATATAGTATGTCAGATTAAAAAAAAAAAAAATATTTATTTTTAACCTGACATCCTGAAAAATAAACATAAAAATATACAACACTCAGTTATCATTATTTAGCACACAGAGTAAATAAAATTATGATAAATAAAAAGGTCATGTTCAATATAAATAAATTGTGTGTTTATGGTATTTTAGATTTAATTTAATATTGACTAACATTTCTAGAAGAGTGTATAGTAATTTATTATAAAATTGCTATATCAGAAAAATTATAAAATATAAATGCGGTCTGTTTTGAAATTTCACACCAGTACCTATACACATGCAGGTATTGTAAGAATCTCTAATGCCGGACAATTGAATTTCTTGATTCCGGAGTAAATAAGAGAGGAAAGAAAGGCGATCATTATTTTGAAATTTTCTACCTATAAAATACGAAAAATGAAACTACGTACCCGATTGAATGGACGCGTCGGCCGCAGCCTCTCCCAACTTCCGGACAGACCGCACTGTCGCGTCGTCCAACAGCTTGACGTTGAGAGTAAGCGTGCCGAAGTACCTGCCCAACTTGTCGACGAGCAACCGGTCAAAGGCCTCGGACGAGTCACGACCCGCGGCTGTTTGCGCCGGTACGTCTCCATCGCCTTCCTCTGTCCGACCGACCGACTTATGACTGGACACCGTGACGCCGGACACTAGCGAGTAGCTGTCGTTGGCCCTCTCCAGACGGTCCACCAGATGCACCAGCGCCAGCTTCGCGCACGTCACGTAGTTCTTGGACACGCACCTCTTCCACATGACCTACATTCGACGATCGTGACGAAAACGCAATGTTAACAATAACAATACCAATATAGTGTGAGTAAAAATATTAATGTTACGATGATATAAAATAAAATAATATAACGAGACGTAGATCGATTAAATATAATATGATATAAATCGGATGTGGGTACGCCGTGTGGTAACATAATAAAGGTAACGCTAAAGGGGAGGCCTGCAGCTGAGTTTAGGCCTAGAAAAAAAAAACAATAATAGATCTGTTCTTTTTGTTCGGGTCGGTCGAATGAAATATCAATATTTTTCCCAGTCGGAATATCGACGACGTACTACACAGCACCTACATTATATTTTATTAATTGTGGGCCAAACTATCATTTAGAAGTCTTCGTTATTTTTATTTTATAATATCAGCTGTATACACTCGAATTCCTCAGTGCATTATTAATTGTACTGTAATTAAATGATTATTAATGATTGTAATTTAATATTATATTAAAATATGTGTTGGCTAGGTATATATTGAAGATTTTGTATGACATATTATTTTCTGCAGGTTTGGATTTTAATGTTGAGTTATAAACGCAAAGCTGTTTTCACTGATCTTTGATGTTGTTTTTAGGTTTCATCAAAATCCATAGCACGCTAAACGATTTTTTCCTATGAAAAGAAACTCTATGAATTGTAATATTTTTTGTTAATAAGTAACCATGGCAGCGAAAACCTTACGAAAATCAGTCAGAAATATTTTATCACGTATCCAGCCCAAAAACATATAATATTTATGCTAAAGTATATCATATGCTCAATACTACGCACAGTATTGGTCGGCAAGTACGCATTATATTATATAGGCTATACTCCCATGCCGGTGAACGGAAATTCCTGGTCGGTGGAAAATAAATGAAAAGTGCGACGGGTTCGATCGACGATGTCCTCGCGGGCGAACACAATAATCGTCGTGTGAAATCGTCAAAATGTCTGTCGCGAAAACCTGTTAACTCGATACATCGACGATCATTGTTCATTATGGTCGGAATCGAATTTATTGGAAATTCACTGCATAGGACACACACGCACACACACTCCGGTTTCATTTCACCGATTGTCCTTAGTATTGGAAAATCGAATGCTCTTTGCGATACGCATTATTATAGGTACGTGACAGGTACGCTCGATCATAATAATAATAATAATATAATGATGATCGAACACACACACACACGCGCATGATTTAAGGACGACATCAATTTACAGAATTGGTTATCGAATCGGTTTTCACACGCATAAATATAAAATATATTATAATAATGTGGAAGAATCTCTGTTCCAGATAGTTTCCAACACGACCATATTATAATAATATGCAGCCAGATAAATTACTTATTTCGTTACTACAATATTGTATTGTATACCTAATATAGGATACTAGGATAGCTATTCTTATGGTTTACTCGTGTGCGGAAAACTTCGTCCGCTTGTCTATCCGTCCCTGACGTCGGTCGATTCGACTTTGTTTCTTTTTTCAATAATCTCCGAACGAAAAAAAAACCACTTACAATCATTATCGCGACGCATCAACCACTGACCGTGAAAAAACCGTTTACAGAGATGATCCGATGGTAACAATAATTGTTTTACAAAAAAATACCTTTATAACTACACCGCTGTTCCACGAATGCGTTGCCGTCGGTACAAGTGGGTCGCTCACTCGTCAAAAAATAACGCCCAAATTTGACATTAATATGACTACAACACTGGTCTATAAATAGGTATATACTATACAAGGATAATTACGCAAACGATTTTCATTTACATATTTTAGTGAAAATTCGGCGTCGATGAGTTAGGCAACATATTTTTTCGTCGAGACCACATTGTAACGTTTCGGGGGTAGAATAATGAGCCTCGGAGTGTTCGTAAGGTTATACGCACATAAAATCAGTTAGGTATTAGATAGGCGTAGGTTATATATTATTCTCGCGGTATTCGGCCTCGAACCAAACAATAATAATATATAATAATCGAGAAAAACATATTTTTCGAAAATCGTTGAAAATATGTATTGTAAGTGTATAGCGTATACCTACATTTTCATACCACATAGGAAAGCGCATTGTCGTCCTCGAATACCTATACGACACGTGTGTTTACAGCGGACCAGCGGGACGTCCCGGACGTAGGTACGGTTTTCTTTCACGACAATACAAGGAGGAATGGTACAACTGTTATACCTAGTTGGGTACCTATATAATATTACGATCACGTGGTCAACCGCGTCGTAAACAGTCGTCAGCGGAAACGCCCGCCGAAGAAGTATAATACGCGTGTCACAAAAACACTCACCGCGCAGACGTCCAGTCAATGGATTTGATTAGGACGTGATAAAAAATTACAAGAATATACCGATTTGACGATACCGAATGGGAAACTGTAATGCTACATAATAATAATAATAATAATCTATTTCGAAGGTTTTCTTTTTTTAATTTTCAATGTTTTTTTCTTTAAAAATCGAAATCACACGCACATGGCATAATAATAATAATAATAATATAATGCGTGCTCGCGAACCTCCGACCGCATATATGTACGTATTTATTGTTATATTCGGACTTCTGCACAAGCAGTGATCGATCTCGGCAATATTATAATCGACACGTGCCCATTTATTGGATGAGGTGCAGATGCGTCGTATACACAGGTACGACTTGTAATATTGAATAACGGCTGACGGATCGAATCGTCCAATGTCAGTTGTACCTATGATATAGAGTGCAGTCTTCACTCTTCGCCGCCGCCGGAATTATGGTCACGTATTTGCGACTGTGACTATTGTACGCGTGAATGTGTGACTTTCCAACCCAGATTTCGATAGCAAAAATCATTTGAAATCTATAATTTTTAGGTTAAACGATAACACACGACGCGTAGTCGTTTCTCCGACCGCCCAAATTCGAAACTCGTTGCCGCCGGACATAATATTGCTATTTTATGCAATACCCTCTGCGAAAATCGTTCCGGACCGATCGTCTAAACAAAGCTTACAACACTTTAATGTACTCCCGTTGTGTCCGCCCATCCGTTAGTTACTAGTAAGCACACAATATAGTTACGATTGTTGATATTAAAATATTTATTTATTGTCCGCAGTTAGGTACTGTACATTTAGAATATACTCACGTTTAGAAACCAGATATTCAGCCTGGAAAGAACCAACAAATCTGGTCTTGAGATAGATATTTACATTTTACCAAGTTAAAAATAGTATTAATACTTTGAGGAAAATTCACATAAGGTATGATGAGAAAGAATTGTTTAAAATATGGACAACATTTGAATCGTGTCATTGTGACGTTAACGATGGGTATGCACCCATCTACTTTGTGCGTAGATGCCTAATATCTTGAATGAATGATATTTTTGTTTATAGCTCATATACCTATTATGTAATTATAGACGTTTTATTTTATAATGATAATTTTAACTAAGTACCCAACGGTTCAGTTTAAATGTAGTTAACGAGTTTTTTTTTTTTACCTAGGTATATCTTTATTGTAAGTTATTAATATCCAGGGAAAAAAATTTTTATTTTAATACATTTTACGAATAAAATCGAGAAAACTAGTAAAAAATCGTTTTGATTAATCACACTATCGGGGCATAACAACGTAATTTTCTTTTTCTAGTTAACTATTTTACTAAATAAATAGATAGTAAATATGCATTAAGAGATATGTTTGTACCTATAATATAGGTACCTACTTGAAAAAAGTTATATCCATGATCCCACGGTTCTCAAAGATGTTTTAGTGTTTTAAGTCATTTGAATATTAATAAGCAGATTACTTGAATTCATATAAAAAAAAAAAAAAAACAATAAAATATAATATCTAAGTCACAATCAACTAAACTATCAACACATGCGATGAAATTACATTCAATAAAAAATATATATTGCTGGGTTGCCACGACGAAGACAGTCAAAATGAGATAAGTAAGATGTTATGTCTTAAAATTATAGTTATTATATTTTAATAATGTTATAACTTAAAATGACGATTCTTAAAAAAAAAAAAAACAGCGTTGCTATGTTTTAATATTTAATTGTAACGAAGCTAATACGGTGTACCTATTTGATTGTAGACGCCACGAGTGGGCAGCTGCTTCATTTTCAAAAACAAAACCATACATTTTCTTAATTATTATATTTTTAAATCGATGTTAACTCGATGTACCTAAGTTTATGATTTTAAAAATACATAAAATGAAACATCACTGTATCAAGCTCAATAAATATAAAGAACAAAAACAAAAAACCCAAACAATTGTCAATTTAATATAATAACGCTGAAGAAAACAATTGGCCAACACGTGATACAAATATTAAAATAATATAATTCAGTTTTTTATTATTATTATGTCGATTTCATTTTCTCCACTTTAAGTGAATAATTGATAATATAATTTTCGCTAGAAAACCAATTTAAAGGCCTACACACATTTAAAGAAAATCGATATCACCAGGAAAAAAATTTGCCTCTTCTTCGGATGCAGGTATATATGCTATTTGAATGGTGTGAACGGTCCGCGCGGAACGGTCGTAATGGTTCGTAATCGTTATAATATTATTATATTATTGTTGAATCGGACATAATACATGAGTTATTATTGTTGTTGTTTTTTTTTTTTTTAGAAATTATACTTGTAACATGAAAGTGTCGGTATCGCTTTCAACGTGTTCGAAATACGATCAATATATCACGGGAATAATAACAACGAGAAAACGGATTTAAATGTAATAATATATTAATATGATAATATTATAATATGTACATTGTACAACCATAATAAATGTTTTCTATAACGTTGCAATCGAAATCGTATATTTGTACGCACATTATGGATTTCAGTTGATCAAACGGATAAAGGTGTGAAAAAAAATCGTATAATACGATCGTTTGAAAACATTGTTAAAAACTCGGGACAGAAAATAATATTATCCTATACGTATATCTAAAAATAAAGTAAAAATGTGTGGTATGAATTCCGTCATTCATTTTCGATTGCAGTGTTTTCATAGATATAATATGCTACCTACCCAATCAATTCGTACACAATAAGTTTCTATATTTTTGTTTCTCGCCACTGATTGTTATAACTCGAAGGATTCCGCTCTCAAAAGAGGATTCTGAATTGGACAATACAACTTGCTAGCTGGTGTTTGATGAAATATAATGTCACAGTGGAAACATCAATTCGGATGAAACGAAGGCTCAAAACAAAAAGCGTTTACCTATATATATATTATTACCTTCACTTGTAATATCGGCACTGCGTCGGTAGCTACAGATCAACATGTCTTTAATCATTCGCTATACTGTCAATAGTATGTTTTCCCGGACACCCCGCGACTATATTATTATCAGAACTATATGAAGTGAAATAGGTACATCCAGTCACTACCTATTATAAATTATTTGAAATATATACCTAATATACGTTGCTCGTTCGACCAACGGCAATATTACTATTTGTCCTATATTATGTTAGAAAACTAGAGAAAAAGTTCGACTTGGACGTACTTGTTCCGCCGAGCGTCAATTTTTTTTACGGCAGCTAGTCGATAAAGATGGTCTTGTTCGTAATAAATTGAAATCAAACACCGTCCACTAGGTGTTTTTTAATAACGCAATGATTTTCTCAGCGTGAGTCAATCAATAACAATACGTATATATTATTATATTTATTGTATACCGCGGCGTTGTTAAACCGAATTAATATTTTCTTTTGATATTTTGCCACAGTTACGCGTGAAACTGTCGATTTAGTCGTACCTATCGTTTTTCTTTTTTACGAACAATATCTGCGAAATCGTAAAATTGTTCTGGACGAAGGTCATACTAATTTTACTCATCAACCGAGGGTGTAAATATTACAATTATTGTTATTTGAATTCCCATGGACTTATTATTTTGTGTCTAAAACCATAAACCCTAGAAAAAATTTCCTCACACATAGAATTTTGAAAATATCTGTTCTTGAAAATAACATATGTACACCTGTTTAGCTCCCCCTCCCCCAAATAGAGATACTATTTATAAAAATTATTATATTATTTACTATCGCTGATATTTTACTTAGACCCTAAAAAACCATGTCGATCGCCATTGTAATATTATATAGTGCTCGGTAATGGTCTCCCGTATTGTCCAGTTTTTCACATCATTTTATATAAATCATAATAATATTATATGTACATAATTCAATGTTGATGTTATAGTATTTTTTTTTTTTATCGCGGCTTGCACATACTCAAATAATATGAACGTAATCCGTTTGAAAATCGATTAACGGTTAAGTACATGTACAGAAGTCTTATACAAATATACGTGCATAATATGAAGTCAATAAACGAAAAATAAAAATGTAACAATAATCGCACATTTTTTGTTGTTATTTAATCTCGTTATTTCAATGACCTAAAATGTCATGTATCCGAATAATTTTCTCAATTCAAATAACTAAATGTATAATAACTCAATATTCATTAATACATATTGTGATTGAAGAACTATATTCTCATAGTCAACAAAAATATCAAAATAACAAATTTTGAAATTATTTAAAACTCGAGCAGCCGGAAAATGCATGGTACTAGCTGTGTATGAGTACCTAATATAATATTATTATTGAGTTTTGAGTCTGAGTCACCTATATACAAAAAATAGATGAAACGACGTGGATGTAGATACGCACGCATTTGTCGTCTTACAGATAGAAAGGTGTAGCTATTACGTATAATAATATAATATAGATGGTAATAATATAATACAGGTGGTATACACGTACTTTTTTCAAACTTTCAGCCGATCCATTGAAGGGCCTGGAAAACGAGGCGGCCGCTGGGTCGATGGAGTTAATGTCGGCTGCGGAGGACTGATCGGACGTTGATGTCTCCCGCGATCCGGATGTGTCGGCCGTCGGTTGTCCCCGAGTTCCAGCCAACGTCAACAGAGCCAAAGCAGTCATCAGCACAGCACAGGTATCGCGGCAGCCGTACATGACGACAGTTTGATGCGATATGATGGAGTGCAATATGGTTACGTACGCGTCTATATACCTAGGTACTAAAACAGAGCAGACGTTGAGTTTATACAACTATATAATTGACCCGCAACGCCGACCTTGTGTTTACGATAAATCGCGTCGCATATGTACACGCCAATATTATTATAATAATTGTCCGTCGTCACTTAGGTATATAATATTTTCGCGGTATACCACGGTCGCGATCGGAGGGCGGCGGCGGACGATCGAACGCTGTGGCGGTCGAGCGGTTGTGTGATGCGCCGAGACGCTGCGAGATCAGTTATAGCGGACGAGCGGGGCCGGCGATTTGGGTCGCGCGGTGGCAGTCCATCCCCCCGCGGAAAATATCGCGGTAGGGAAAACGGCCGCGTGCATATTTATAATATATATTTTATATATATAAACTCCAGGTCTAAACACACAGAATAATATTTTTATTATAATAATCAATAATAATATATATCCAAGTATATGCGGTATACGGAGTGCATATAATATCATCTAGCATCATAACAAAAATATTACAACATTACAGATCCCTACAGATAAACTGCTTATTTATCGACTATAGCCACACCCTGCCAACGAAGAATGCATGGGACCGACGTGATGTTCACATAAATGTTTTAGATTATATTATATTATTTTGTAAATCGATTCTTAAAATAAAAAATGAGTATCGATCAAATTTGACAAGTCCCGATAGCTAATTATTATTGAGTTTTTTTTTATATTATAATACGCAAGTATTAGTTGTTCTTTTTACGATAATAGACAAATTATTTTCAAGTTTTTTCTAAATTATTGATGGTGGCTGACGTTTGAGAAACGATGATAATTGATAACCGATGATAAGGCAGACTTAAATGTATATTCGAGTCAAATCTTAAAAGTGATTAGAAAAATGTATTAGGTTATTTAGAAGCCTGATTTCAATAAATTACCCGATTAGGTACATACCTATTATAAGCAGAAACTACTGAAGTGAAATACGGTAAACTAAAACAATGGACTATAATATATGTATTGACTAATAATTAGTACCTACCCTATAGGCAATATAATGTTCTAAATATAACTACCTATTGATAATCAATTAGTTATTATTTACCAAATATGATCGCCTTTTATACTTTTAATAATTTATTTATCAAAATTCTCAATTTTGAAATTCTTAAGTGTAATATTTATTATACATACTATAGGACTTTATTATTAAATACTTACATTGTTATGTAATTTCTAGAGTGGCGATACTAACTTTAGTTGAATAAAAACAAAAATTTTTATTGTAAATTGTTCAAGAGATAATTTTTATTGATTTATATATTATATCGTATTCATACGTGTAGTTTTTGAGTTTTTAAACTTTCCGTATTTAAGATAATACTACATGGCAATGTAGTTAGAAGATATGAAGGCTATTAATTTTAAGTAAGTAATACTTAATTAATATTAGTTTGTAAAACTTATCCGAATATAATAATAAGTGTTAGACTAAGACAAATATTTTGTACCTACATTGTATTACATAATATATTTTATTTCGTATTTAAAAGTATAAAACCATTATTAAGGACTATATATTTCTCTAAAATCTTAGTTTACATTGTTTTATAACACGGAAACTATACCTACTCGTTCGAATTTCGATATTTAGAACTTTACAGTAAAATTAATGGTTATATCGCTAACTACTTCTTAAAATATCATGATACCCATATAAAATCTAACTATTTTAAAATCCCCATTGTCTTTAAGTGTACCTACTTAAAAATTCTTAAAATTCTAACATTTGAACAAATGCGATGAATACGGTCGGTTAATCGACCTGTAAATGAACGACATTTGGTTTCGGTATGTGTTGTATTTATTGACAACTCTAAATGAAAATGGTTCAAAAACTTGCAAGTTTATAAAAGAGAGTATATGAAAAATGCATCTCCTCTGCAGAACTGCCACATCGTTATACGCGTGGCCATTAGGGGCACATTTTTAAGAAGTCGCACATACATTGTGCAGACGAATTCCTGACTTCACTTGGGCGTATGGTAAATTATATATATATTATAATATGACATATGTATATAATATACCTTACGCCAGACGGTTAATAGTTATTGCGCCTACGCGTCGGAAAAAGAAAGGAAAAACACAATGCGCCGCCGCGGCTGTTCATATCATGACCGGACCGGACTGCCCCATTATCGAGCGTGTGTTTATTGTTGTCGTAATGTATAATATAATATAATAATAATTTTATTATTATATTCATGTAGCACAAAAGAGTAAAAGACTATTGAAATTTACGCGCGCGCGACGTGCTCTGGCCATTTTTACACGCTCTGGCCTGGAGCTCATCATTCGCACGTACCTAAATAATAATAATATTATGTACGACTACACATAACTATTTACAGGCTATAATGGCTGCTACGGGAAGTCGAGCGACAATGATATCGTTTTGCTTAATTTAATATCGCGTCACTCGTCATCAGCTACGGAGAGGCATTTCCACGCTACCGTATAACGACCACCGATTTAGTCACTTTGGAACATTTCTAGTGAAGGAAGTTGAACCCTTTACCCCCTCCCTAAAAGTAATAATATGATATCACTATTCATGATGAGATAACGACTATATGGGTGATTTATCGATTTATATGACGATTATGGGCAATATCAGAGATCTCTATTGGAGATTTAAATTTTAAGTCACCCAGCAACTCTGTCTCCACTTGCAGTTACGGCGTTGGTGACACGTAAGTCCTACACCATGGTGAAAGTATTAAATAGACAATTTATAGTAGATAACACATATGTTTTATTTATTATTTTTCATTAATTCTGTGATGAAGATGGGAACATAGAAGATATTATCGAATTATAGCTTATTTTTTTCTGGAACCAGGGACACCAAAACCTCTAAATCATACATTTAACACATGATAGGAGGTTTTTACTGATGTGACAGTGATAGGAAAAAATAAAAAAAGTCAACTTTTGCGTTCCTTAAAATGATATTATAGTATTGTTTCATGAGGTACTTTCTGTATTAAATGATTAGAAATCACACGGGAAGCTTTTACGCTAGGAATATGTACGTAAAAACCATATTATATTATATTAGGTATATGAGTACGAAATAAATAATGCGGATGTCACTTAAATTGCTTGACGAGTTATCGACGAGTTTTCTGTGTCAGGTTTCTAGATGCGGGAGATCATATAGTATTGCAGAAGTACGTGGCATGTCAATAATCTCATTATTTTCGTTAATTTTTCAGCAAACAAATTGTGCTCGTCGAAACCTTCCACACAGTTCTTTCGATCACTGTTTACTTGTTCGAACACACATACATATTACTATATACTCTTGCGTTTTCGTTTAACACAAAACGAGCCAAAATACGTATCGTGTACACAATAATAGTCATTATTATGGTCTAGAAATGTGATACAGTGTGTAGAGGAAGAACACACTCTTAATGACAATAATATATTATTTTCACTGGCATACATGACGTAGGTACTTCCATAATATAACTGCCATGTGTTGTCAAATTTTTCAGAAAAACAGTTGAACCGCCACTCATAAATCACGTGTCAGGTCTGGGAGCTTATTCCAATTATTGCGCTCATACTCGAGATCCAAACACGAGTAAAATGTAATGCGTTTGTCATGACTCGTAGTAACGGTGGTCGGATTTAGTGTGCACAAAAAAATGGAATATTCGTACAAGTCGCTAGTTGGTGTGTATAATAATGGGATCGTTATATTAGTGCCAAATTAAGCAAATTATGATAGTTAAGTTGATACAAGACTGGTAAAACGATGACGATCTTACAAATTTAGATTTTAGACGCAATTAAGTGACCGTTCCGGCTACAGGAATGTAGGACGTGTGATAAATATCATATTTTTTGTTGAGAAGATTATAATTGTGTGATTTTGGAGAATTTTTTGATCAGAAATAAAACAACATCCAAAAATAATGTTTGGTTTAAAACAAATAGACTATTACATTATAATATACGTGTGTATGTTTTAAAATTGCAGTAAGATATTGTGAAAATAAATTGGTAATTTTATATAATAATTAATAACTGAGCAGAGAATTCTCGAGATATCTCAAAACCTTAATAATAATAATAATTTAATCTATATATATAAAACTGAAATCAAGCAAAAGAGGAAGTCTTTGTTACGGTTTGGCTTCGAAACTTCTTATCCAATTGTCATGTAGTTTTTTTTTAATGAAAGAGGATATCACGGAGCAGGTTTTTGGCATAAATAAAGTCCGTTAATGTTAGTCAATAATTAATTATCTATACATATAAATTTTGAGATTTCAGATGGAAATTGATGTTTGTAAATGGTTGCAATGGTTATATAAATAATAATAATGATAAAAAAAAATAAATATTTTATTTTATTTTTAAATATAAATTATATTTAATGGGATTAAATAAATTGATTATTTTAATCAACAGTAGGCGGAATTGAGTAAAAACGACAAACTTGGTATAACTTTGATACTTTAGAGTTAAATCATACACTTCCGTACAAACAGAACGGGGTCCGCGATCTACCGCAGGTATATTGCCTACCTGATAATGTACTGCTGCGATTCAGAATTTTTATTCCGGGCAACGGAAAAGAAAAGATACATTTTGAACACCATACACCGAATATTGAATAACGAATTAAACAAAGTTTGAGTCATATTGAGTTGATACATTTAACGGGCGACGAAGTGCACGGGATCAGCTAGTTTAATTATAATATTAATAATAATTTAAACAATAATTATTGTTTATAATAAATCAAACAGAAACGCTAAGCAATAAATATTTAAAACTTAATATAGGAATCAAATATTGTACCAAATTCAAAACATATCCTGAAATTGGAAATCCGATCATATTTTCATTTTCACTTTTATTGACTATTAATGTATGACGTTTGGTATTTACTGCATATTATTATTTCGTATTTGTATAGACGGAATGATAATCCTGAGATATCACTTTTTTTTCCAATTAGAAAATGTTTCTATTCGGACGTTTGGTGTTTTTTTTTCTTTTTTGACAATGGTCCTAGAAATCTGGTATTCTCGATTGCTAATTGAGCATATGCAATTTATAAAATCGAATAGTAAAATATGTTTGTGCACATCGGCATCTACTTATAGGCATTGTATTATAGGCAAAGCTAGTATTATATCGCTTGTCACGTTTCTACAATTATTATTTATTTAAACCGCATCGAAAAGCATTATACGATTATTAGGATACTAGTAACGACTAACAAGCATTATCTACGTATATTATAATCACAAGTCAAACACCTCTAAAGAAAGTACAGCTACCTAAAATTATATTTAATGAATATTTTTAGATGGGTATACCTGCCCACCAATAGTTAAAAAATAATCATTTGGTGGACATAGTTTGTTTTTAAATTAGTAAACATATATAATATAATATTATTATAAAACTTATGAAATTGATAAACAATATTGCGTTACTATATAAATTTAGTTAGTTATTTCGGTTTTGAAAATAATTGAAATATTAAAATAAAAAATAATTTATACATTCCTGTCTATTCATGATTATTTATATTTATTTATATTCTATATAATATTTAATAATATGCTTATGGTGATAACTATAAGTTATAAAAAATACATGTTTAATCAGATTTATCGTAATATAATCAACTTACGCATTATACTTGAAATTATATACTTCAAATTAAACTGTTTGTTCCGAGGCAAACAATGTTATATGGATTATTGAACTGGCTTAAAAGTTAAAATTTGTTTTTAAATGAAAGAATAATTCTTGATCTAATCCATTCAAATTATATTTATACATTTCCAGAGGCTAATGTAACGGGATCTATACTTAATGTTAAATTAATTATTACCGTTTTTACTATTTATTCATATAGTAATACCAGTGTTCGGACTTATCTAGATAATTATTTGTTCATCTTTTATATTATCTAGATAAATAGTTACAAGGTATCTAAACATTCATCTTAGATAATTTTTTAACTAATCTAAATAAGTTCTTCTAGATACATTTTTAATGATAAAAATCGCGAAATTGTAAGTGTAAACGCATTCTTAAATATTTATACAGGTTTTCAAACAAAGTTTATGGTTTATAAATGAAGTAATTATTTTTAGTTGCATTGTCTTTATCTAGATAAAAAAAATACTTATCTAATCCGAACACCGAGTAATACACAATACACATTATAATATAATGTTAAAAATGAATAAATATATTCGGATTACCTTTGTTCAATGCTGAAACTTATGTTAACGGTAACATGATATCAATGTATTACATACCAAATATGTACCTTATCCTAATATGGATAATGGCCAGTGCAGAGGGCATAAACAATTTGTTTTCATGGACAGAAAAATGTTTTCTACCCACCTACCCCTGAAATATTGATACTGAAGTGTAGTTACACCCAAAATTCATTCCGTGCCAAGTGGGCAACTCTACCCGTCCACCCACCCAGCAATTTTTTGTGTGGGATAAATGTTGTCCCAAATATTCTCTGTCTTTCCGCCACTGATACAGGCTACGCGAAGTTTAAGTGAACACAATTAAAGCGTGGAAGTCACAGTCGAACGGGTGCGAAAATAATATTGGCCATATTATGCGTTATTGAATTTTATAGTATTTCTTTTCCACCGCTGGTTCGATTAGGGCTGACCGTCTCTTATAATATTGTGAAATTACGAATATAATAATAATATTATAATATATATAGAGGATCAGACGGAAGACGACGGACCCATTTGAGTATATTTTGACGGACATTTAAATGAACACGTAGGGACGCAATACGCGTGCCGGCAAATCGACAGCAGCTAATAATAATAATAAATAATATAATATATTATTATACTGTGCGATTAAACGTGAAGATATTCGACGAGAAATCGCATTGTTTTCGGCACGAAATGCGTGAAATGCAGCAGCTGATGTCCACCTGCCTATAATATGTTATTATGCGATTTATAATGTACAATAATAAATAATAATAATAATAATAGTTACTCGCAAATAATACTGATGGCTGATGGGAGACTTTTTTATTATTCGACGGAATAGCCGCAGAAACGGACGAGACCTGCGAAGCAAAGTCGTGGAAAACCGCGGCCGCTGACATCGTCATTGTCGGGTTAGAAAATCGTCGCGTACGAAAATCGGTTATAAATTATAATATAAAAATAACAATAAAATCACATCGATGGCGTGGAATATAATAACGCATGACGATTCACCGAGTTTTCTCCGACGCGATTTCCGCGAACATACATGCGACAGTCGAATGCTTTTCTTTTATTCTACTATGAAATATGAACGCCGTTTTTATTAGGGCCACTACAGGCATGAGAATAGATTACGAACATCCAATGTATAGGTATAAGATAGAAATAATTGGGTATACATTTATCTAGAAACTGATAAAAATAAATACTTTTTAAATTATTCTAGATTAGATAAAGATGTGGTACTTATAAATGAAACTAATTTTTATTATATTTAAATAACATATTTACTTCTTTGTCTACGTGAACATAATATAATAACTAATAATCAATATGTGCATTCAGTAATATACTAATATGATTTTATTATGTACTGAATGTATAACGAGAACAATTTATTTTAGTAAAAAAACTGAATATTATAAATTTATTATTATAATTATTATAAATATTATAAATCTAGATACGTCTGAACACTGTCGACAGGCCACAGACTTCGCTCGTCCTTACAGCAGTTGTTTTCTATTTCTCTGCATTCTGCAACTTTCCTCAACCCTGCATCAAAGTCTTTTAGATCAATTCTGGCTTTCCATCTTTACGCCGTTTACGTGCCTAATAATATTACCTAGTAGGGTAGGTAGGTTAGGTTCTATATCTGGTCTGCTCCCTACAAGGCCGGTCTACCTAATCCTAAAGCAATACTAGATGGCAGATGTGTTGATGTAACTCTTCATCAATCAGTATATTACATTTTTTGAAGGACATAATCGGAATCGATGATAATAATAATAATAATAATAATAACAACAATATTAACACTCATAATCGTAATATCATATAGTGATGATAATAAAAAATAATAAATTAATAAATAATAATGATAATAATATTGTGACGTTTATCAGCTGAACAGGAGCAGTGTCTCTGGCGCCCATCAATGTGGTTGTACCGGATACCCGCTGTAGTATTCTCCTCCACTGGAGGACTGCAGCTGTGGCTGTGGATACGTTGCTGTGTAAGGATCGTGGTGCACTTCCTCGGAGTAGGTGTGACCGTGCACGATCTGTGGTTTAGCCACCACTTCGTAGACGGTGCTCGCCTTTTCCCAGGGCTTGTGCCACCCTGTCGTCCAGCCCGAGTTCATGCACGTCAACACGATAGCGCCGAACGCGAACAGTAGAGCTTTGCTGGCCATCACGACCATAGCCAGTGCGCCCAGCGACAACAGTGTGCCACCCGACATGAGAGACGCACCCACCACGTGCTCCATGAAATCGTCTTTTTTCCCTGCAAAACAAAAACGCAATTTAACAGCTTATAACGATATTAATATTAAGATATGTACCTATATTATAATCTATTTCACGTATAATAATCGAACATGCCCTGCGACTGATTGATCAACGTAAAGCCTGAACTATGATAACAATAGAGACTTGAAATTGTCATGGTACATTCACGTACCACCATGTAGGAGTGCACGCTATAAGAAAGGATTTTCCAAAATTCTCATTTTAAACAAGTGATCACTCATGGATTTTGAGATTGACATTGAGATCTACATTTTTTTTTTATAAATGGTTGCCATTGGTTACAAATTACACATTATTTTACATTGTAATAGTAGAAATTAATATTTGTTGTATGTATATGGTTCCCATTGGTTACTCGGCCAGATGAGGAAAAATCATACATAAAATCGTCTAGTGTATGGCCTCTATATTATATCTAATCATAATAATATTATCAATCTAATAATAGGTTAGGAAGGTTTGCCTATCTTTATTAATTTAAGTTGTTTTGAAAACTATGTTTTTTCATTAGTATTTTAGGTGTTCTCATTATGACAGTAAAAAAGTGAATTTACAGATCTGCATACCAATCTGGAAATAACGTATAATATATCGACTCAATAATATCTTCTCAACACATTAATTCTTTAAATCTTACGCATTAGGAAATGTATACAAAAAATAAAATAAAGCATAAGTGTATTTTTTACATTGGGGTGAATAAAAATATAAAATTATTATAATATTTTAATAAAATAATTTAAATTAGTAAAATTTTAATATGATTAAATTTTTCAACCATTGTAAATTCAACAATTTTTGAATTATTGGTTCAAACTTTTTCTCAGTTTCTTATACCTGCTGTAACTTATACATTTATCAATTATCACTACAATACAAAAACAAATATCATAAAAGTAATTTATTTTTATTTATTCAGTTATAAAAGCGGTGTACTAAAAGAAATGCAGTAATGCAGATTTAATCGCAAGCATAATTCCATATATTATAATTGAATTAATACAACGATTTGACTGTTGTGATAGTTGTTCGCAGTGATCGAACCAGGTATTAACCCTAACTAATTGTACAGCCGATTTAGCATACCTACCTCTACTATTATTTTTAATAATTTATCTTATGGATTACTTCATAACTACGGATCCATAGTTAATGTTAACTAATTATTAGCAAACTATTAATTAATTTACTTTTACTATCGTTTTGAGTTTGTTATTATTTATAACTATAATATATTATATTTTAATAGGTACCTACAGACTACCTATGTCTTATATAAACTTGTATTTTTTTTTTGATTATTTATAAATATCTTTTATATGATTTAAAAAGGGGTATTTTGGTTTTAGGAGTCCCAATAACATTTAACAAGTGTTGTGGACGCTATTTTTTTAAATGTAAACAGAGCCCCCCTACTTTAATTTTGCCAAGTCAAGCACTGGTTGTTCGTCATACCAATAACTGGCGATCATCAATACAACAGACCTAAGATATTGAACTGTTTTTATTTTTGACCAAGCTGTCGAACAATATCGTGATATTGTTGATTTAATTTATTTTACATCTGAGAAGATGTATCTATCGAATCCATTACCTGGACTGTGATGGTGTTTCTTCTTTCCCAAAAATTGTGTATACGGGACACCGTAACGTTGTCCTATTTTCACAATTGCCGGTGTAATTTGAGTGACAGTCGGTAGATCTGAATTCTCGGGTAGTGGCATGCCATCAAATTCTTCTGAAAATCCAGACTTATATTAATATATTTTTATTCATACTGAAGCCTTTTGCTATAATATTTTAAGCAAAATATCAGTACAATATTAATCTAAATAAACTCTATTTAAGTATGTGTACAATGTATTATTAAGTAATAATATTATAATGACGTACAATTAATATTATAACTAGTAGTGAAATGTATTATTTTAGTTCGTTTCTTAATCACTAGAAAGCACTCTGGTTATATTAAATGTATTTATTTTGAAAATATTCGAGTCGACAACAGTCAAATAGAATAGGCAACTACATTGGCAGTTAAGAACAGTGTATCGTCCAACTGTTTTGAAACTCGGAGTAATAACGATCGTTAGTCGTTCGGAAGTATTAAATATCATATGACATCACATACCTCGTTGAGAACCTTTGTTATTTGGCTAAACTATTACGTGGCCAAATCGATTTACGTTACTTATATTCTCCTAAATCACTTTCACGGTTGTTCATGTCCGTTTTTCTTGACTAATAGTTCCTTTTTTCGAGCCCTACCTCATCAAAAAAATTATTGTTTGAATTAAATTATGTGTTTCATGTGTACAGAAACTAAACTCTAAAACATCCTTTTTCTTTTTCTAAATATTTACGTACCTATTTTTAACATGTAATTAAATCAACTTTTAAAATGTTATTATATATTTTTTATTGTTATTAAATATTATGTCATGTTTACACCACTGCATAAACTAATTATAAATTGGTCGAATCCCGTCTTTTATAATTTACATAACTAAGTAAATAAATAAAAAAAAATATTGAGAATTTCGTTTGGTGTCTGCAAATTATTATTATAGATATTCACGTAGTTAAGTGGGCGCTATACACTAGTCATTAAAGGGGCTTAGTATAGGCAATTTTATTGAAATTCCGAGAAGAACCAAAATGTTTAATCTTAAAAAAATATTTAAAATAAATACATACTAACCCGGGTTAGGCTAATTTATAAAGGTTCCGTCTCAGAACCAACAATAGTTTTAGGGCAATAATGAGATTATAACATAGAAACATGGTTTCTTGAGGGGTAAACTAGTACGAGTACATTATTTACAGTAGATTTAACAAATGTTCATATTATACTAAATAGAAGATAACTTTTCTGTGTCGTAGCGTTTTTGTATTTTTTTATATGAATTTATACAAATTTAAAATCAAAAACAAAAAATGAATAACATTTACCGTCTGCGTCTTAAAGTTATAAAAAAAAAACCTAAAAGGTCACAAGGTACAGATTTTTTTGTGTATAGTAAAAAATTGGTATGGTTTCTTTGAATACTGTAATTTTTTCCGGTGTAAAACTATTTCCATGGATAAATATTATAGTTAGAGTAGCGTCCTGTAATCATTCTGACGGGTTATTTTCCTGATCCCTGATCATAGTCTCCGGCCACTGATTCATGACCGTCAGAGCGTGTATAACGTGTTCAATGCACAGATAAATATCAAATAGTATTATTAATCGTTTGAAATGAAGTTAAACGACACCTTTAATACTATTAGTTAAAAATTAAATATATTTATTATGATTGAATTAAAACATCTTCTTCAATTTACATTTTATTTTACAAATTATACATTATAATTTTTAGTAAGAATTTGTTACGGTATAACTATTATAATTTTAATACTACATAATATAATAAATAAATATTATTTTGATAAAAAAATTGAATGAATTTGAAAAAAAAAGTGTTCAAAACAATTTTACAATTATTTTAATATTATTATGTAAATTATTATGTTCTTAATAATTTATAAACGGTTAAGGTAATTTATCGAATTTTATGACCCTAAAACGATGAGTAGTAAATTACAATAATCGAAAAATTATAGCATACAATTCCAATTTATTAGGGATAACATTTTATATTTTAATACCTTGTCTCATCGTTGTTTCCCATATCTTGTCGAATTCAAATTCTTTTTTTCCGGCACTATGGTTAAACGCTGCCAATGGTATCGCCGTAGCAAGAGTAGCCACACAAATAAATTTCAAAGCCATTATGGTTCAAAAACACATCGCCAACTACTATGATAACGCCTCGACGAAGACTGAACACAATGTTAATGTTATGCCCTTTATTAATAAAACTTACCAAATGCCAAGTCAGCTAGTGTGTGAACTGTTTATGTCTTATTTGATTTTTTTTACGTGTGTCTTCGGGTAAACAATTGAGTTTGTGTGTTTTAGAACAATAGTACGCAACTTCTTCGAGTCAAAACAGTCATCTTTGACTGTGATATTGTTTTGTTTTGGTAATTTTTTCATTCTTTCCCCTTGTTAGCCACAATGAAGAAGTGTTCGGAATCGATTACTCGTATCACACGTTTGTAATGCAAATGAGTGTTTTGTGTTTTCTATTTTGTCGCATAGTGTGGGTGTATTATTGTTGTTTAACGACCCATGGGACATGTGTATACACAAACAAAATGTGTTTTGAAAACATTATGTAAATATTAATATTTTAATTTTGAACAGTGTTTGTCTAAAATATCACTTGTATATATTATGAATAGGTACTCAGGATATCATTACGAGGACCTTACAATTTCACATTAATACTGTTTATTCGCTAAATAATTGTGTAATGAAATACCTACTTTATTATGGAATTTTTTTAAATTTCACTATAATATTATTATGTTTTCCTTGTGTGAATTAGTTCTTTGATACTATGGTCCTAAAGTACAGAATACATACAAAAAAACAATTTCTTATTGCCTAGGTGCAAAATGAATTAAAAATTAAAATATCTAAAATCACACAAAAAACTCAAAATATGACTTTTGAAATTAAAAAAAATCAGAAACATAACATTTACTTAAAAGTAAATAAACTTTCTTGAGTGATACGATATTTTGATCTAAACTATCTCTAAGGCTATAAATGAATTACATCGTGTGTATGCGTGTGTGTGTGTTTGTAATACATTTTATATATGTCAATCAATCTACATACATAAATCAATACTTATCAAATATAATTACTTATGATTTTCAGGTGTCTACGTGTAATCGAGTAATGAAACCGTCAAACCGTCATTACAGTGTAAATATTATTGGCAGATAATATTTCATAAATAAAAAGTTTCATCACCTCGACTTTGTACTTATTGGAATAAAATAATAACTATAAAGTATAATATGATATATCTAGTAACTTAAAATTATATAATAATGGTAATATTTATTAAACAAATTTATATTCTTTGAAAAACATAACGACCATTGATGCACAAAAAAAACCACTAATATTAGATCGATATGGATTCAAAATTATGTCAGTAAATATTAAATAAAAATTAATATTATTTGAATCTACCATCTGCAATATTATTTTATTGATAGCAAATCGTAATATAAGAAATAAGATTATTTTGTTTTTCATTAAAGCTTTATTTGTGGTATTAAGGTTTTAAACAACATGATAACATAAAATATTCCTCAGAAAACTAAAAAAATTACAAAGTATGTAGTAAAAAGATTTTTAGTTTAAATTCAATAGGTTTCGAAACATAATTATATCTGACTTATGTGAGTTATATAATAATATCATCATAACTATTACTATATTCCTACCAATAAAAAAATACCCAAAGGCCTAGAATACAATATAATATATAGGTACCTATATATGCTTTTCGTAAAACATAGGTATATCATTATTAGATGTGGCTCTCTATCGGTATATAATATCATAATATATAACCTTATAGATATTATAAACCTATTGTATTAAGTACCCCGACTTTTCCGGAGCATCACATATATGAAATTCTGATTTAATTACAACAATACCAAATTATATTTCAATACCATATACATATGTCTATAATAGTTGTATAATAATATGTAAAAGCCGGACGAAGTTGGACGTAGATTCTAGAATCATCGGTTCCATAGCTAGGTGTGTCTGTGCGGCGTGTGTGCGTTTTATGTCGGTACATTTTTTTTTTTTATATATAATATACCTAACCCACCTAGCAGCCGCGGTTTATTCACACGCGCGCACGCGCGTTCGAACAGGAGAGAGAAGAAAGTGCTGCAGGTGCCCGATGGGCGATCGACGATGGAAAGTAGTCTGGAGGCCGCGGATCGATGTTCTTTTTATTTATTTCATGTACCTATGTTATTATACCTATATAATAATATCTACGACCGTATAGGGACAGTGCATTCACGACTAGTTTCTCATTGTGGGTCAACACAACCTTGGCCGTAACATTCCGACAGACGTTTCCCATCCGTCCATGTGTGTGTATACGCACACGCACACATCAAGGACACGAATTCGGGTCATAAACATACACGGCTCATTGTAATTATTTCAGATAGATTATCCATCCTACCTACGCCTGAATAATGAAAAAATAAAATGTTAAGAAGTTTAGACGTAAGCGGACAATCGTTTAATATTCGACAAAGACGATATTTTATTGTTGGTGTTAGACAAAAATTTAGTAAGATTACTGTTATAGTTCATTAAAATATTTGTTTTACTGTCATAATAATAATGCTATATAAATTCATAATATTATTTATGCGAAAACGTGAGAATAAAATATATTGGCGAATCGTCGTATACCCGACGGAGACTTTAATGCGCAGTCCGTCGTTGCAGAAATTAAAATACTTGGTAAACTATTTAGTCGGATATCGTAGCTAGTAATACTACATACTATGTCCTACTCACTGTAACGGCAACTATTAAAATATTGGGTTAAAAGTCCAATTATAATAGATGAAAATAATTACTGTTACAATTTGTTTTGCTTATTCATTAAATATAAATAATAGATAGGTACCTGAACTGTCACGTCCTTATACTGAGCCTTGGTTTGTACATTATAATAATTATTGATTAGGTATCCATAATTTATAGATTTACATACAATTACCTATATAAACCAATCAACATTTTTACCATACATCGTGTTATCAATAAGTCATTTAAAATTATTCTAACTGTGATTTTTTGTGATATGTATTTGTTAAGTCTTTCATCATTGTTTACATATTATAATAGATTTTTAAAAACTGTTCAAAAGCTTAAATTACATATAACGATTTCAGAGCTATTGTATTTTCACTCGTGGGCATACATAAAAAATTAGAATTATATTTAGAATTAGAACTATCTAGACATGTTTCGAGAATTAAATTATTTTGTTCAAATCAATTTATTATTCGATTAAAAATTAAAAATTAATAATTGTATAATGATATAAACTATAGAAATGAATCAATTTTTTAAATGTAAAGTAGTTTTTGATAACATTAATTTTTTTTTTATTTGACTTAAAAAATGTAATTTTCAATTGTTAAAAAACACATTTTTTATGGTATTTATGTATGTATACAGTATACAAACTATTCCATCTAAGTATATACATTTTGTTGTGAAAAAAACCAAATAATTTAGTATTCTGCACTTTCTGAACATGTAATTTTAGTTAAATAATATTTATAACATAATAAAATATGTCCTGCAGGTCTTTTCTATTTTATCAAAATTAGTTACCAGAGTAAATTAATGGTTATGATTAAATAAATAAACACAATTAGTTGCTATATTATTTTAGTAGTTATAAAAATAGTATAATAATATTCGTTATAAGTCGTTAAGAGATAAAGTTTAAGTATAATAGTATAATATTGATACTGAACGTAAAAAAATATAAACTTATATTTTCTTGTAAAGTTTTAATTGTTTGTAATTGTGATTTTTTTAGTTATACTTTGGGCATTCAATTTATTATTAAACGTTGAAATATTTTCGTAGAAAACGTATGAGTAAATTACTACAATAGTTTATAGTAATATTTAGTATGGAATGATAACTATTACCCGTGATGTATTTATAATACATCTGTGGACCCGGATCTAACGATGTTTCACCATCCAAACCACTTTATGGAAAGAGAAAGTTTTAGACTAATCCTAATAGAAAAAAAAATGAAGTCTGATCACCCAAAAAAAAATATTAACAACACGGATTTCTTTATACTTTTTAAAATGGTAATATCTTATGTTAAAATGACTATATACCTACTGATGCATACTAATAAGCATGAACACCTAGAAAATTATTATTTTAAATAATCTTGTTCCTTTTTTTTTAAAAAACTATAAATTATTAAAAAAATAAAATGTCTTATTTTGTCAAGTCAAAAGAAACAACTTTAGTGAGATAATAAATAAAATAAACATATACTCGTCGAATTCAGACGAACAGACGCTTCTAGAACTAAACACAAAATTCCAAAATTTCTATATCAGTCACTAGGTCCGAACGTATCAACCATCAAACAGACTTTAAGTTTCATAAAAGAAACACAAATTGAAAGTTTATTGTAAAAAATTAATGTAAGAACCAAAATTATTGTAATAACTAATATTATGTAAAAAATTAAGCCAAATGAAAAAAAAAAAAATAAACTACATCATAATTAATAATTATTTATATTTTGTAGGTATATTATAATGCATCATACTTCAACTTCAAAATAAACTTATTTTTAAATGCGTTCATCGGAGGTTAAAAAGTGAATAATTTTTTTAATATTTTATTGTTAAAATGGAAGTATGCATTACTATATTATCTACAATCAATTTATAAGTAGATAATAACATAACACTCTTAGATATGTTTAGTATTACCATTATTTTATTATATTAAACAAAAACATGTTAATATGCAATAAATTAAATGGCAGCCAAAAAAAAGTTCCAGATTCCGTGGTTTATCATGAATTAAATTAGTGATGACGATAGTTGAAATATTATTCTTCTAATAATTATTTTGAGTCACATACTCGACAGCTGGTAGCAATTAATATTAACAATATATCGTACAGTAGTATAAAGTACATTGTGAATAGTGATTTAATTAAAAATATTATTGTCCTAACAATTTTAAATGTGCATGAAGAAAATATTACGTTATTTTTTGGAATATAATTTTACCGTAAATTTAAACTGCACATATTGTAACGATTTTTA